GCCTATATATATATATATTTTTTTTTTTTTTTTTAAATATATCTTTTATTGATTTCAGAGAGAGGAAGGGAGAGGGAGAGAGAGATAGAAACACCAATGATGAGAGAGTCATTGATCGGCTGCCTCCTGCATGCCCCCGACTGGGGATGGAGCCCGCAACCCGGGCATGTGCCCTGACCGGGAATCGAACCCTGATCAGCTGGGTCCTAGGTCAATGCTCAGCTGCTGAGCCACGCCCAGCCGGGCAACACATATTTTTTTAATTCGAAGTATATAGTAGATAAGAGCAATATGTCAACTGGGAGCAATTTTACCTCACAAGAGACATTGTCAATGCCTGGAGACATTTTTGATTGTAACACATGGACAGTGGGGGGCACCACTAGTATTTAGTGAATGGAGGTCAGGGATGCTACTAAGCATAAAATATAGAATGTCAACAAAGACCGACTTTGCCCAGATGCCAGTAGTGCTGAGATTGACAAATCCTGATCTAGACCAGTGTTGTTTAACATTTGGACACGGTTGGTAAACCTTGACACATTTTTGAAATATTTGTATTACACAGTACGATCACCAGAAGATACAACCAGCCTAGATAGGGGCCCTGACAGCCCCGTCCATAAATAGCCATGCAGAGGTGGAGGGGGATCCTTGTCTTAGGCATAACTTGACCCCATATACTTTGTTGTACTAATCGGGAATCTCTGATCCAGATCTAGTCAACAGTCAGAAATTCACTTGTCAGGAGCCACTAAGGGATAGTGAGAGAGCCCTAAGTACCGGAGCCCTCTTTCCCCTGTGTCATATTGCTTTTGAATCCCTGGAGTGTTAGTGAACATTCAGATAATTCAACACAGGTGGATTAGTGACTGTTTTAGAGATCTCTATGTATGTATATGGTCAAATTACATACATTAACTGCGCTAACTAGTTATTGAAAGGAGAAGCAGTGGAGGACCCCAAGTACTGGTTATTAAAAATGTTAGTTTATATAGGGTATTTTAATTTTATTTCTTTAACTATATTTGCTTTAGGCCAATTAAATTGTTTTTGTCTTTATCATATTCCAGTTTCTGTAGGAGGAGCCCAGAAGTATAGTGGGCGGCACATGTAAATTGTTTATAGAAAATTCATAATTTTTTTTCAGGAAATAAATTACTATATTTTGGTATGTTTGATACATCTTGGTCATTAGTTTTTGAAGCCCATTAACTTATATTTCATATATTGAGATGCTTGTGAAAATAATTTACCTGCCAATTGTGTGTACCTGAGCATGTGGTATTAAAGATTATCTAGATGTGGAAAGATTTCCCTGTATCATGCAGTGTGTGCTTATGAAGTATTAAAAATAATTTTAGGTTTAGTGTCTTTCAAATTATACATGTGTTAAACCTACTGTTTTCTGTAATTAGGTGATAATTGGAAAGAAGCACGAAAACTCAGTGTATCTACACAGCATATTTTGATACCTTTGCACTTCAGTATGGAATTCTCTAAGGCCTTGGTTTTCATGGATATAAGGATGCCTAAGTATGTATCGTCTGTTTCAAGTGATAATTGACTTTCTCAGTAATTCTGTAGCTAAGGAAATACCATATTTCATTGATGCTCTCTGTGTGTGGCAAAACATACATAACATGAAATTTACCATGTTTACCTGTTATAATTCATTGGCATTAAGTAACTCATATTGTTATGCAACTGTCACCACTATCTATCTCTAGTACTTGTCATTTTCTTAAACTGAATGAGAGTTCCTGATGTTCCAGACCATTGCCATTATTTGGTATCTTTTTTGATGAGGTATCTGTTTGGATTTTTATCCCATTTCTCAATTGGATTGTTTGTCTTACTGAGTTTTAAGAGTTCTTTGTATATTTTTAGATAACAATTCTTTATGAGATGTGTCTTTTTCAAATATTTTCTCCCCATCTGTGGCTTGTCTTCTAATTATCTTAACATTGTCTTTTGTAGAGAGGACATTTTAATTTTAATGATCTCCAGTTTATCAATTTTTTTTTTCATGAATTGTGCCTTTATATCTAAAAAAGTCATGGCCATACCTAAGGTCATCTAGGTTTTCTTGAATTTACCTTTTGGAGCTCTGTAGTTTTGCATTTTACATTTAGATCTGTGATCCATTTTGAATTTTTTTGAAGGGTTAAGGTGCTGTCTAGATTCATTTTTCTTCCATGTAGATGTCCAGGTGTTCCAGCACCATTTGTTGAAGAGAATGTCTTTGCTCCATTGTATTGCCTTTGTTCCTTTGTCCAAGATCGGTTGACTGTATTTATGGAGGTCTATTCCTGGACTCTTTATTCTGGCTGATTGATCTATTTGTTTATTCTTTCACCAGTATCAGTGTCTTTCTTACTGTAGCTCTATGGTAAGTCTTGAAGTCATGGAGTGTCTATCCTCCAACTTTGTTCTTCTCTAATATTGTGTTGGCTATTACGGTCTTTTGCCTCTTTGTATAAAATTTGAATTATTTTGTTAATATTCATTAAATAAGTTGCTGGGATTTTGTTTGTGTTTGCGTTGAATCTGTAGATCAGTTTGGGAAGAACTAACATTTCGACAATATTGAATCTTCCTATTCATGAAAATGGAATATGCCTATGTAGATTTTAAATTTCATTCTTCAGAGTTTTGCAGTTTTTCTCATGCAGATCTTGTGTATATTTTGTTGAATTTATACCTAAGTATTTCTTTTAGGGGGTGCTAATAAATAGTATTGTGTTTTTAATTTTAAATTCCACTTTTCTGTTGTTGGTATACAGGAAAGGGATTGACTATTGTATATTAACTTTGTATCCTGCAACCTTACAATACTGGCTTATTAGTTCCAGGAGGTGGTTTTGTTTTGTTTTGTTTTATTATCTGAGTTTCCTACATTGACCATCATTTCATCAGCAAACAAAGACAGTTTTATGTTTTCTTTTCCAATCTGTATGACAGTTATTTCCTTTCTTGCCTTATTGTATTGGCTGGGACTTTCAGTACCATCTTGAAAAGGAGTGGTGAGAGGGATATCTTTGCTTTGTATCTAATCTTAGTTGGAAAACTGAGTTTCTTCCCTATTAAGCTGTAGATTTTTCAAGTTGAGGAAGTTCTCCTGTATTCTAGTTTACTGAGAATTCTTTTTTTAATTTTTATTATGAATGTATGTTGGATTTTGTCATATACACCTATTTATATGATCATGTGATTTTTTTTCCTTTTTAGTTAGATCAGATTTTTAAACAAGGTGTTAGATGTATAATCTTTTGGACAAGTTATTTGAACTTGCTAAAGCCTTAGTTTCCTGATAGGAACTATGTAAATATGGGAACTTATAAGAAACAGGGAACAGAAATAAGTTGTCTGCCTCTTAGGTTGTGAGGACTATTTAACATAATGCATATCAAGTGCTTTCCTTAATGCCTATCATGTAATTAACACTTGATAAATAGTAATTGTTAACTGTCATTGGCAAATAGTAGAGAGAGAATAAACACAATAACATTAGAAAATATGCCTCTGAAAAGTAATGAGATTATTATATCTAATGAGACTGATCTGTAAGGTCAGATGTAACTTTGAGTGGAGATTATGGGATAATTTATCCATGGACTATGGGTAATTTTTAGTGCTAAAATCACATTTGATTATTTTTGGATAACTTAAGGGGAACAGTCCTCTTTTTAATAAATGCACTTAAGTTAGAGTGAAAATTGCTTTATAATGGTTCCTCTTTTTTTGAAACAGATTCAAGATTTTTGGAAAGTTACCACTGATTTCTTTGCGAATCTCAGATAAAAAACTGCAAGGGATTTTGGAATTGATTGAAAGCATCCCAAAACCCACACCTGCAACTGAAATTCATGCCCCCGTCAAACCATTTCAGGTAATGTTATTTATAAAATTAATAAAAGCAAAAATTGAAAATAATTCACAGATAGTATTTTAACAACCACAGAGATTTTGGGTAAGAACATTTAATTCATTTTGAATAGACCTTTAAAAATTACATTTTAAAAGACCAAATAATGAAGTAGTAAAAGGTGCACATAGTAAAGAAAAGTGTAAAATGATAAGTTTACCTTTCTTCACTCTTCCAGCCTTTAATTTTTCTTCTAGATGATAACACTATTAACCACTGCATCTCTAGTTTTCTGATATGTTTATGGCATATGCTAGTATACACACATACAAACATATGCTCCTGTGTGCCTATGTATGTACATTATATATATTCTTGTGTTCTTAAAATTTACATAGTGAGGTTATACTTACGTTCTGAATCTGTATTCTTTAACCATTATTATCTGTGTTGCACACCTTAGAGATATTTTCATGTTAGCACAGATCTACCTTATTCTTTTTTATGGTGATATACAGGGTGGGGCAGAAGTAGTTTTACAGTTGTGAGTACGCTAAACACAGAGTTTATTATTGTATTAGTGCTAAACACAGAGTTTATTATTGTATTAGTGCTAAACACAGAGTTTATTATTGTATTAGTTTCCATACAAACCTCTTTTGCTTCACCCTGTAGTATTGAATTATGTGAGTATACCATCCTTGAACTAACATAATCCCCTTTTGATGGGCATTCATATTGTTATGAGTGTTTATAGTTATAAAAATACGGCTTTGAACTTCTGCATGTATTTGGGTATATTTTTAACCATTAGATAAATTCCTAGAAGTAGAATTGTTGAGTAAAAAACTGTAAATTTTATAATTTAATGAACTTTGTCAAATTTCTTTTAGAAATTAAGTACTAATTTATAATCCCACCTATATAGTAAAATGAGTGTTTCTCTGTTCTCATTAATCTTGAGTATTAACAAATGTTAAGATTTTATCTATTAAATGAAAAAAATGTTATCTTGTGGTTTTGATTTGCATTTCTTTATGACTAAGATGGAACCTATTTTCATAAGTTTATTGGATATTTGAATTTATATATTTAAAAACAGCTGTTTATGTCTTTTGTTGGGTTATGATTTTCCAGGTAAGGAAATTATTGCTATTTTTCATTTATAAGCATTTTTAAAAAATGTATTTATTTGTTTTTATTTGGATACATTAATTTTTGCCATGCCAAACTTTTTACTTTTTTACATAGTCAGTTATTAGATTTTCCTTCATGATTTCTGGGTTTTGTATTATTATGTGCCTTTCCCCTTCTTACAAGTGACTGTCACAAAGAAAATATCCATTCCCATTTTTCTCTTTTTAAAAAGTTGATTTTTTAATGTTTAACCTTTTTCTTTTGAAATAATTTCAAACTTATAAAAGTGTTGTAAAAATAGTGTAAAGATGTTTTTTCCTCAAACTATTTGAGAGTAAGTTTCTGGGTAATGTACCATTACCCTGAACACTTTAGTGTTTTGCAACATTTTTTCAGTCTGTTGCTGAGCTTTTTTTTCTTTTCTTTTTTTTTAATGTTTTTACTGATTTCAGAGAGGAAGGGAGAGGGAGACAGAGTTAGAAACATCAGTGATGAGAGAGAATCATCAATGGGCTGCCACCTGCACACCCCCTACTGGGGATCAAGCCTGCAACCTGGCCATGTGCCCTGATCCAGAATCAAACTGTAACCTCCTGGTTCATGGGTAGATGTTCAACCACTGAGCCACCCTTGCCTGGCCTGAGGTTATTTTTTTAACAGTCTCTTTTTAAGAGCAGGAGTTTTAAATTTTGATGAAATTTAATTTATACCATATTTTTAAAAATCTATCTTTATTGTTGATAATATTACAGACGTACCTTTTGTTTTCCCCTACAGTATTTTTTTTTTAATGGATGAAAACTTTTTATCTCAACTGAAATCTTTGCCTATCACATGGTCAGAAAGCCCTTTCATTGTCATTCTATTACTTTTTGTCTTTCATGGCTTCTGATGAGAAATGGGTTGTTAATTTAATGAGGATACCTAGTATGTGGAGAGTGGCTTCTTCTTTCTTTGAGTGTGTTTAACTAATTATATTTTGATATGGGTCTATTTGAGTGTATGTTACTTTGATTTTAGTGAACTTGTTGGTTTTTTTAGATTCATATGTTTTATCAGATTTGGGGACATTTTTGGCTGTTATTTTTTGAGATTTTTTTTTTTTCTGCCCCTTTTCCTTTCTGTTCTTCTGCTAGGATTTTCATAATGCATGTATTGACTCCCTCAGTGGTGTCCCACCAGTCCCTTAGGTTTTGTTCACTTTTCTTTATTTCTTTTTCTTGTCAATTTTGATTGAGCTATCTTAATTTTCACTAATTCTTCTGCTAGCTTAAATCTCTTACTGAAATTCTCTAATGATTTTTTTTTTTTAGTTATTATATTTTTTAAGTCTAGACTTTTTTCTTTCTTTTTATAATTTCTATCTTGATATTGTCTACTTGTTGTGACCTCATTATTTTCTTTTTCTTCAGCTCTTCACAGTTCTTTCTAGTTCTCTGAGAGAATTTAAGACAGCTTAACGTTTTTGCAGTTAAATTCAGTACCTGTGCTTTCTCTTGTACTGTTCCTGCTTTTTTTTTCTCTCTTTTCTGTGCATGGGCCATACTCTACTATTTCTCTGCATGCATTATTCTATTGTAACCCAACAAAGGAATTGTGAGAAAAGGAAACTACAGACCACTGTGTTCATTAACACAGATGTAAAAATCCTTAACAAATAGTACAGCCAAATAATATGATGTGTAAAAAGTATAATACTCTATGACCAAATGCATTTACTCTTAAGAAGCAAAAAAGGTTCACCAGTCTGTAATAAACCACATTAGTGGAGTAAAGGAGAAAAAGCATATAATCATCTCATTAGAAGAGGAGACAGCGCTGACGAAGTCCAGCAGCCATTCATGATAAAAACTGTTAACTGGGAATAAAGAGTAGCTTCCTCAACTTGGTAAAGGACATCTAGGAAAAAAGGCTATAGCTGATATCATTCTTAATTTGAAACACACTAAATGCTTTCCTTGTAAGATCAAGAATAGTGCAAGAATACCTTTTCTCGCCGCTTCTGTTTAGACTTGTACTGAACTGTAGTTCTCGCCTTGCCGTAGTCAAGAAGAATAAAGACAGGGTGGCAACAAAAAAGTAAAACTGTATTTGCAGATTACATGATCATTTATGCAGGAAGTTCTAAGGAATGGGGAGAAGCACTGCTAGAAAAGTAAGCAAGTTTAGCAAGATTTCAGGATACATTATCAATGTAAATAATTAGTTTTTTCTAAAAATGATATTAAGAAAAAATTCCATTTATAGTAGCATTAAAAGGGTTAAATACATAGGAAAAAAAATAACAAAAGAGGTACAAATCCTATATATATAAAACTGCAAAACATTTCTGAAAAAAATTAAAGAAGACTTAAATAAGTAGAATGATTTACATAATCCAGGTTGGAAGGCTGGTTTGATTAAGATGGCAGTTCTCATCAAAACTTTGTAGGTTTCTTACTGTCCACATACCAAAAGACTTTTCTCCTGGAAAGGAACAAGCTTATTATAAAGTACATATGGTAATGCAAAGGATACATATTAGCCAAAATAATTTTGGATGAGAATAATGTTGGAGGATATCTAGTACTTGATTTCAAGGTTTATTTTATAGGTACTTTATTCAAGAAAATGCTGTAGTGGCATAAGAATAGACATATAAGTCAATAAAGTAAAATAGAGTCCAGAAACAAATCTACAATGTAATATATGGTTAACATATATTTGATTTCTTACAAAGTTGTCAATCCAACTAAGTGGGGGAAGAATAGTCCTTACAACAAATGGTTCTGAAATAACTAGATTATTATGTGGAAATAAATATCAACACTTACCTTAAACCATAAAGGGAATTTAACTTGAAATGAAACATAGACCNAATGGTTCTGAAATAACTAGATTATTATGTGGAAATAAATATCAACACTTACCTTAAACCATAAAGGGAATTTAACTTGAAATGAAATTAAATGTAAATGCCCAATGGTGTAAAGACTCTTTAACAAAAGACAGAAAATCTTTGAGTCCTTGTGGTAAGTAAAGATATCTTGGGTTATAAAAAATGCAAGTATAGAAGAAAAATAAATTATATTTCATGAAAATTAAAATTTTCTTATTTTTGAAAGACACTTAAAAATGAAACAGCAAGCTGATCAATTAGGGAAAATATTTGCAACAAATATAACTTAAAAGACTTATCTAATATATATAAGGAAGTCGACATCCAAATAAGAAATTAGATATGTATTGCTCAGCAGGAAAATGCATAACGAAACTATTCTTTTATGGCTTTAGATGTAAAAAATGTTAGTATGTTAAAAATTAAAATTAGGGCAGCGTGGTCATTACCTTTTGGGAGTATGCATAATGATTCTGAAGATCATAAGGGAGGTTTCTGAATTTCTGGCAGTGTTCTCTTCCAGGATCTGGAATTTGGGTACATGAGAATGTTTACTTTTTGAAAAATTATTGAACTTTATACTTAGGAGTATACATAGGAATATACATAGGAGTATACAGTTATATTCTTTTATACAGTTATATACTCCTATGTAGTAGGTTATATTTTAANTGAGAATGTTTACTTTTTGAAAAATTATTGAACTTTATACTTAGGAGTATACATAGGAATATACATAGGAGTATACAGTTATATTCTTTTATACAGTTATATACTCCTATGTAGTAGGTTATATTTAGGTTCATTTTACAAAAATGAACATAATTCAAAGAACAAACACAAATAACCCATGAACCTATAGTATGTGTAACTACTACACATTTGTGAAACTAATTAAAACTAGGATGAAATTGGCAGTGACACTGGCAAAATTTAAAATGTCTGAAAACATTAAGCATTTGTGATGCTTTGGAGCCATACAAATTCTAATCTGCTGAGGTTAGTGTAATCTGTGGCAATCACTTGTGAAAAGGTTTGTTAGTACTTAGTAAGGTGCACATGTGCATTTCCACTCTTGGTTATATACACCATGGAAAGTATTGCATATGAGCACCTGGGGCAAGGTTCAAGGATGCTTATAGTGCCACAGTGAGTAAAAGCAAAAATAGGTGAACAATCCAGGTATTTATCAACAGTGTACTGGACAAAGAAGTAGTGTTTTATTCAGTAATGGAATACAGTATAGCAGTAAGAATGAGTAAACTATCAGTATCGATAAAATTTAAAGATTATTTTGTGGAATAATGTCACCGGAAAATATATGCAGTAATTTCTTTTTCTATAGTATAGAAAGGTGCAGAGGTAAAATGCATTATTTAGAGAATGATTCATAGGTATAAAAAAAACAACTAAGTGAAAGCAAGATCTTGATTAGTGGTAGGGAATGTGATCAAGGAGGAAACACATAAGGTGCTTCTAGGTAAGGCATGGTGCCGCTTTGTTTCTTGGCCTGGGTGCAAGATTCAGGGGTTTCTTTCTTTCTTTCTTTTTTTTTTTTTTTAAAAAATATATATATTTTTTAAATTTATTTCAGAGAGAGGATGGGAGAGGGAGGAGAGAGGGTAAGAAACATCAGTGATGAGAGAGAGAGAGAGACAGAGTCAATGATCGACTGCATGCCCCGTGCTGGGTATCGCGCCCACAACCTGGGCATGCGCCCTGACCAGGAATCGAATGGTGACCTCCTGGTCCATGGGTTGATGCTCAACCAGTACGCCCTGCCAGCCAGGCTCATGGGTGTCTTTTATTATGGTTTCTAAACTGCACTGCATGTTACTGTATGTTATATTTCCCAGAACAGTAAACAAGTAAATTTACTGAAATATCTTTAAAAAATTAAAACTGCAAACTCAACTGTAAAGGCTTTAAATATTGAGACTTTTTGATTGTTTCTCATGGACACGAAGGTGGCTTCCTTATTTTGTTAGACATTGAGTTTAGATATATCTAAGATCTCTTTCAAACCAAACCCTGTCAACAAAGAAATTATTAAAATAGTTCTACAATTTATATTTAGCCCTGAAATTGTAAAATCATTGTTTTAAATATACATTTTATAATTTACTTGTCTAAGTCAGACTGGATTTTTCAGTTTCTTTTTTTGGGGTGTCAGAATCGTCTTAGAATTTTGAATAAGTGTTTGTACTAATTAATGGTGAATTACTTTTTTTGCAGATTCAAAGGTCCTCTTCTTTGGGAGCAACACAGATTTCACAGAAAGTGATTCCTTTCTTGGAACGTACATATCTTGAAGATGGTAAAATGAAACTGCTTTAGGAAATTTTTCTTATAAATATCTTACGAAAATAATTTTCTTTTTGAAACCATGTAAAAATTTCAGACAGTAGCAGATAATTCTGTTTTCCAGAAATTTTATTAAAATTCCCTTAAAATAGTATAATTTGGATGTTCCTTAAAGTTACTTTTGCAGTGGGATTTTTGGTACATAAAAGTTGAACTCAATCACAAGGACCACTGGTAATTCAGTTGTCTTAATTCTACTGTGAGCTAAGAGATCCCATGAAACTTTGCAGATGTCTAAGTCATAACGTGTTACTTAGTTATTTGGAGAATTTTGTTAATTTTGTAAGTTTATTTTTACTTTTTATATTTTCCTTTTTTGTTATTAAAGGAGTAAAATCAAGCCTTAATATGTACTTACACATGAAAACTGATAAATATTTTGACATCGAATAGCTGCTTTTTCTTAGCCCCAATGGAAAGAAAAATAAATGTATTTTTCAGTTTTTAAGACTTTAAAAATTATTAAATGTTAAATAGAGATTGCCATGTTGATTCTCTCAGTTTTCTAGACAGTGTTTTCCTTTGTATGTGGTGACCAGGAAGGGGAGAGGAGTGGAGGGAGGAGATGTTTGTGAGATCATCTACCCTAAATTTAATCTTAGGTTATTGGGCATATACTTCAGCTGGTTTTAGTTTCCTTTAAACTTTCTTTTAATGGTCTTACTAGTTTTTTGAGTTCTTTTTTAAATAACAAGTTCTAGAAATTTATATATATTTACATATGTGTGTGTATATATACATGAAGTAGTATTCCGTCTCAGTTTCTTCATTCAAGCTTCAGGATCTGCCTTCTGCTTTTAATATTGCAGAGTTTATAACTAAGCCCTTTTTCGATCTCCAGTTAGAGTGAGCTTATTAGTGTGTTCCTTTGCATATTCATGATATAATAATCATTGGCATTGTCTTTTGCTATAAAATTTTCCTTAATCAGTTTTAGATAGACCAATGATTTTAAAAGGTGATGTTCATTAAGGTAAAGATTGCATTTTGTAATTTTCAGTACTTTCTTGTCATCAAGAATGTTATTTGTTCAGATATAATCTCTATATTTTTTATAATTTATTTTCTTATGTTTACTTTAAATATTTGAAATAGACCCTTAGTGTTTTAGTGTTCATATTACTTTAAAAATTATAAATATGTTATTAAGTAAATCATTTTGGTTATTGACTTAAACAGTGTTCTCTGATATTTAGATTCAGAGGAGGAATTTTATGATGCACCGTCTAGTCCTTTGGAAGAACCTTTTCAGTTAACTAGAGTTAAAAGTTATCAACAACAAAAGATTAACAAGCCGGATTGTACAAAAAATATCATTCAGTATAAAATAAGATTTGAAGTGCCAGAGGTATGGACCATTGTAAAATTGATATTTGTTTCTTATTTGTACTATTCATAACTTACTTATATAGTGTCATTACTAATAGGCACTGTTGCTTTCATTCTATTTAAGCTGAATCCAGATGTTACTGTGGTGTTCTTCCCTCCTTTTTTGTGTGTGTATTGTATGTTTGTGTGCTTATGAAATCTTTCCTAAATTTTAAATACATTTATATCATATGTGTACCTCATTTATCCATATATAATCATCATCTACGTAAGCAGCTGTGCGATTTAGATAATGATGGTTTCTATTTTCTTTTCCAGGTATCTATTCAGTTTTATCACCTCATTGAAAATTGTGAACTACCTGTGGTAGAAGTTCTTGTCTTAGGATTGGGCACAGAAGTAGAGCTTAGAACATATGATTTGAAAGCCAATGCCTTTTTGAAAGAATTCTGCTTAAAATGCCCAGAATACTTGGGTAAGAATTTCTGTGTTTTAAATGAAATAATTTTATTATTTGACTACCTACTGTAGAGTTTTTAATTCTCTGGGCATTAAATAAATATATTTGCTAAAACATTCTTAGAAAAATATTATATTATGAATTATAATTTTTATCTTATGCTTGGGAATCTAAGTAGACCAGATAGAAATTGAAGATACTTTTTTATATTATGGACAATAAAATAGTTATGATTTAATTTTAAATCTATTTAACTGAATTTTTCAACACTGAATTTGTTTCCTATTGATACTGTAACAATTTACCACAAACTTAGTATATTAAAACAATACAAATTTATTATCTTAAATTTCTTTAGATCAGAAGCCTGACATAAATTTCAACAGGCATAAATCAAGGTATTAACAGGAGTTTCTTTTTGGAGCCTCTAGGGAAAGATTCATTTCCTTTCTCACTCAGGCGCTGACCAGAATTCAGTTCCATGTGGTTTTAATGTGTTTCCCTGCTGACTATTAGGCAAGGGCTGTCCTTAGCCCCCAGTAGAATCTCTGGATTCTTGCACATAGTCCCCTGTATCTCTGTAACCTCTTTTTTTGTCTTTTGATTCCACTCTTAAAAACTAAGGTGATTAGGTTGGGCAAAGTCCATTTTGTCATATGAAATGTTTTCAGGTTTTGAGGTATTAGAGCACAGACATCCTTGGAAGGGGGAGCATGGCATTATTGTGGCTACTACAAACACTTGATGTCCCCTAGTCATAATGGATAAATTATATGATACCTTAGAAAACATTTCCATTTGCTGTGTTAGGCATTTAGGAGGATATTTTGCATATTTCCTCCTTACAATTTTTGGTTTTTCCTTAAAAGATAATTCTGAATGGTTGATGGAATGATCAAGACGAACTATTTATTTCCAATTTGGATGCCTTTTACTTCTTTTTCTTGACTAATGAGTCTGGTGAGGACTTCCAATACCATGTTCAATAAAAGTGGTGAGAGTGGGGATTCTTGTCTTGTTCCTGATCTTAGAGGAAAAGTTTTTAGCTTTTCACCTTTGAGTATGTGTGATGTTACCTGTGGTCATTTATATATAGCATTTATTATGTTGATGTATGTTTTCTCTGTACTCTTTGTTGAGAGTTTTACCATAAATGGATGTTGAATTTTGTCATATGCTTTTTCTGCTTCTGTTGAGATGCTCATATGATTTTTATCTTTTATTTTTATCTTTTATTTTGTTAATGTGGCAGATCACATTGATTGACTGATTTGTAGGTAATGAAACCATCTTTACATCCTTGGAATGAATGCTACTTGATCGTGCGTATGATCCTCTTAATGTATTGTTGAATTCACTTTGCTAATATTTTGGTGAGGGTTTTTGCATCAATGTTCACCAAGGATACTGCCTGTAATTTTTATTTCTGTAGCATCTTTTTGTGGTTTGCTGTCAGGGGAAAGCTGACCTCTTAAAACGAGTTTGAAAGTGTTTTCTCATCTTCTGTTTTTTCAAAGAGCTTGAGAAGTATTTGGTGCTAATTCTTCTCTGATGTTTGGTAGAATCAACAGTGAAGTTGTCTGGTCCTCAACCTTTGGTTTTCAGAGGTTTTTGACTGTTGCTTGAATCTCCTTCTTAGTAGTTTGTTTACTCAGATCTTTTGTTTCTTGATGATTCAGTTTTTGAAAGTTGTTTGTTTCTGGGAATTTATCCATTTCTTCTAGGTGTCCAATTCTGTAGAGTATAATTTTTCATAGGAGCCTCATGATCCTGTGTATTTATGAGCTATCTGTTAGAATGTCTCCTCTTTCACTTCTCATTTTATTTGAGTCCTCTCTTTTCTTCCGGGTGAATCCAGCTAAAGGTTTGTCATTTTATCTATTTAAATGTGGAGAATTCTGTGGAATATGGGGCATTTTTTTCCTCTAGAGTAGTATGATTGGTTTAGTCCTTTCTTCCAGTATCTAGATGTTAATTTCTAGCAGCATAAGTAATTTGGTGATAGCTTTATATAAAGTACTCTTCTACAGCAGTTTCCCACTTATTTTCCTAGGTTTTGAACAGAAGTAATAATATAACCAGTAATGTCTGATTATATGATAGTAGGACTTATTTTAATATATATTAATATACAGGAAAACTTAGTTTCTCATCACATATCTAACTGATTTCTTCTCAACAGTCAGGTTTTTAGGGAGTCTGACAATTATTTAAAAAAATTTATTTTGTAGCAACTTCTATGGCTCAGGGCTAGAATTCCCTTCATGCCTTTTCATTATTCCTATTAGCCATTATGTTTTTTCTTTAACTGATTGCTACTTTTTTTTTTTTAAACCTTACCTCCTAAGTTTGGCAGAGTAAGAGTTTTTAGCATTTTGCATAAGAGAAGGGAAAGGGGTAGTGAGGAGAAATTCCATTTTTAGAGTTTACAGTGAAGGACGATGGGCCCAACCTGGGTAAGAGAAGACTTGGAGCTGATATAGGAAACTCTGCTTTTCCAAGTTTATATTTAATAGCATTGCCTGCATTTATTTTCACTTAGTTTTACTATGAAAGAATAATTTTTAAAATTATTTTTAGATGCAAATGAAAAGCCAGTTTATTTGATTACAACCCTGGACAACGTAATGGAAGACTTGTTAACACTGGAGTATGTGAAGGTAAGCAGTACCACTTATGTCTGCTTGCTGTGGTCAGTGACGGCCGAAATGTTAGCAAGTTTTGTAAGGTTAGTAATACTCAGTTTAATCTCGAGTCTGTTGACATCTCTAACTCCTAAAACTTTAAGATATTTTTAGTTTTGTCCTCTGCTAAATAGAAGACTTCGTATAGCAAAATAAGAAGTCTGTGTTCTAAGTAGCAGTAACCTGCAGTTTTTCCCCCCATCAGGGTACCAGAAAAAGAAACTCTTTAATCTTGATCCTGTTTATTGTGACATATGATGCGAGATGAAGCTTTCACTTGATTTTCTACAATTGTCTGAAGTTACCTAATTTTCCTGGTGTCAGTGACTCCTGCTGTCACCTCTTCCCTATTGATTTATGATACCCATTTCATCATTTAGTATGTTTTTATATATGTTATGGTATACTTAAGATTTAGTCCATGATTTCATTGACCTATTTTTACGTAAGTGCTGCATTATTTTAATAATTACTTTATGGTAAGATAATGCTGGAAGAGTAATGAACATGGAGTATTTAGATACTTTGTGGACGATTCTGTCACAGATTTTGTTTCACATACAGGAAGAATTAGGGAAGGACCTTCCGTGGCTGTTGATGATAGCGATTGTTCTCCACACTTAATAATGTTTAATTTTCCACCCTTGATAATTTATTGAATACTTGCTATGTGCCAAATTTCTTTTGTTCTGTGGAAGTAGTTGTTCGTTTAGGTAATTATACGTATAAATAGCTGGAAGTTTTCTATTCATGTTTATTAGGACCATTATGTAATTGTATTTGCATATGTTTTTAAAGGTTTCCTAACAGATCTGTTTTATTCTCTCTGGGTAGGCTGAAAAGAGTGTACCCAACTTGAAAAGTGCCTATAACAATGTCGCACAGCTGATTAAGGTATAAGTGAATAATAATTTGTTTTTTAATTAGATGTAGTATTTCTAAGTAAATAGTATATTATGAAAATTATTTTATAACTAGAACTCTAATATCCTTGAGGATAAACATGAACTATTATAAACTGGATCCTTTGTACCACAAAGCCTAGTGCCTTATAACAGAGCAGGCAAATAAATACTTATTGACCTATTACTAAAATCAACTTTGTTCTCTAGGTGAATTTTTCCTCTTTGGATATTCATTTGCATACTGAAGCACTTCTGAATACAATAAACTATTTTAACAATTTCCTTCCACAATTGGAGGAAAAATCAGCCTCAATTTATGTTGCGGAGACTGAAGACAAAGGAGAGGTCATTAAGAAAATATGTATGTTTCTTTAAAAATTCATCTTCAATTTTTTTTCACCAAGTAGATTAATACGTGTTGGCTTTGGTTCTGTTAACCTACAGTATTGTCTTCAGATCTTTATTGCCTAGCTTAAAATCTAGAAAGATTCGTTATATACCAAGTTAGTTAAAGGAAATAGTAGTATAAGGAAAATGATTACTGCTGAAGAAAGTGCGTCTTCTATTTATCTTCTCCTTTTAAGTTGAAGATGATACTAGAGAAGGTTTTGATTTAGATTAACAGTTATGAATTTAATATCCTTACTTCAGATTAGAAAAATAGAACTAATAGAATTTGAGTAAATTTTTTAATTAGAGTACTTTTTAAGCTGCAAAAAGTTGCAAGTTCAATAATGACAGGTATCACCTAGTAATTATTGACTCAAGATTTATGATTTTACCACTAGCAATGTCTTAGTTTCAAATGTTAACCTCACATAGCAACCATTTTTTGTCTCATCTATTCATTTGATTTTGTTTGGCTTTTAGTTTTCATTAGATTTGATTGTTTTTTAGAATTCCTAATTTATTAAGGAATATCTTGCTTGTTTTCAATTGAATTGCAAATTAGGTTTTTCTCTAGTTTTACCATTATTTTGTTGTGATATTTTATTTACTTAACAAATGTAGCGAGGTAGCTACAAGTTTTTCCTTACGTTTTACTGTATGACTTTTTTTTTGCAGCTTCAAAGCGATCCAGGAAAGAAGATATTATTACCTTGCAGATCTTAGCAGAATTATCATGTTTACAGATCTTTATCCAAGATCAGAAACATAACATTGCTGAAATTAAGATTGAAGGTAATAAAATTTCAGAAAAATAAATCCAGAACTATTACATGAAAGAAAAGTCATTTAACCATTCTTTTATTTCCATAGGGCTTGATTCTGAGATAATTATGAGGACTACAGTAACTGAAATAAATGCAAAACTAAGGAATATAATTGTTTTGGATTCTGATATAACAGCTGTATACAAAAAGGTATAAATTGATTTCTATTAACTAAGAGAACATTTTAAAATTTAATTTCCTTTAAGATTAGACATAGGTATAAATTAGACAGTTGTTGGATGTTAGCTGTGTGGCTTATTATGTCCTTTGGTTTTGGAGTTAGCATAATTGGGTTCTTAACTTATCTCTGCTCCTTAGTAGTTGTGTGACCTAATCTTGGATTCTGTTTTATTATATGTAAAATGAGGATTAAGTATTTTATAAATGAGATAAATATTGGTAATCACTTCGGGAACATTGTTGCAGGGGAATGAGGAGACTGTGGAGGGATGGGGAACTAGTAAAAGCCTTTTTCACTATTTTTCTTTTTCTCTCTCTTCAAATACTGTGAACCTTGTAAACACACTAAATGAGAATGTGTATTCTGATAATTTTTCTTTTGTTCTCCCCATTTATAAAAATGTTGGGCCACACCTACTAAATTGATTTCATGGTCCACAAAGGGAGCTGCCACCACCAATTTGAAAAATCTGCAATGTAGGTGCTAATAAAGGAGTTAGGATTGTTGCCTTATTTCTGCTTGGCTTGAATACATGGAAAATTTTCTAAATTTGTGTGTATTGCTTTGTTTTTGTACTGAAGACCCATCATTCCAAAAATGGATTTTGACATTTGAATTTTGTCTCATTAAGGCTGTTTATATCACTGGAAAAGAAGTTTTCAGCTTCAAAATCATTTCTTATATGAATGCGACGGCTGGTCCTGCGTACACAAATATGAGTGTGGTTGACATTCAAGTGAATTTAACTGTTGGTTGCATTGAAGTAGTTTTAGTCACAAAATTTTTATATTCTATATTGGTAAGTATGTTAATCAATTTTTTAATTTATTCTTTGTTTTTTTAATCCTCACTCGAGAATACTTTTTTCATTGCTTTTCAGAGTGTGTGTGAGGGGGAGAGAGAGAGAGAGAGAAAAAGAAACATCGATGTGAGAGAGAGACATCGATTGGTTGCCTCCCGGACGCTCCCTGATCAGGGCCAGGGATTGAGCCTGCAACTGAGGTATGTGCCCTTGGCCGGAATCGAACCAGGACCCTTTGGTCCAAAGCTCTAACCACTGAGCAAAACCAGCCAGGGCTTTAATTTATTCTTTCCTGCTAGTTGGAAATTGCTATGCATCAAATATAGATGAAGAATAATGATTTCTTGCTTGATTTTTTTCTTCTAATTTTTCATAATTGGGTACTATTTATTATGACTGAAATATATAATACTTTATTTATGTAGTATTATTTTCACATGGGACTATCCAGTTAATTGAAATATATATTTTAGATATTAACATATTAAATATATGTACATTATATGTCATATATATTTATTTTTTTATTTTATACATCATTGGTTTACATTTTTGCTTTACCTGAGTTTCAGCTCTAATTAAAAATAATAAATATGTAATTGAAGTTTGTTTTTGTCTGAGATTATTATTTAAAAATTATATTTTCTATTGTGTTATAATTCTGTGACTGGGGCTTTGGAGGTTTAAATTTAATCTCTATGATACTCTAGGTGGTTGAGTTTTAGTGCTGCTTTGCACAGGGTTTTTTTTTTTCCTGTTGTTTTTCCATTCTGTCACCTGATGAAGGGGTTTTCTCCTGTGAGTGTCATACCTATCTCTATGGCTTCACTAGTCATTCTTTTAAAATGCTGTTTCTTAGTTTTGGTAATGTGAACTAGATGATTGGTTGATTTTAAGTAAATAATGTTGCTGTTTTTTTATCTTTTTAATGGAGGTTACCATGCAGTTTTTCTTATACCCATACTATTTTTTTTTTTTTTGTATACCAAAAAGTAAAGATGAACAAGTATTTCTTGCCTAATTTCTTTTAGAGCTCAAAAGAATTATGTCACTGGATCCAATATGATAGCCTTATACTAAAAAATTATTGAAAATAAAATATTTTTTCTAAATATGAAAATTAAGTATAATTCTAGGTATATTTTATATAATTGAGGTATATTTCCAGAATTCAGAAATTAGAAAAGTTTCTTAAGGAAACATATTTTAATTTTTTATCATAAATAAGCTCTCTGTACATTGAGTTTGTACAGGGAAATACAATGTAATTATTTAGCAATTAGCGAAAGTGAGATAATGAGGGAACTGGATATCAGCGAAAGATTGAAATGTCCACGAATGTTACTTTTTTCCAGGGATTTTTATTGTTTTACCCTATCTTTGTGTTTCTCAATTTTTATTGCAGAAAATTAGGATTTAATATAGGGAGCCAGACTTTGAATAAATAACACTTGGTCGTACCAAGAAAAATTTTTTCTTATGAAGGTAAAATCATAAACTGCCATACACATTTAATAAGTCTTATTCATCAATGGTAACCTTGTGAATATAATTGTTATCTTTATAGGCTTTTATAGGTAATTTTCAAGCAGTTAAAGAAGCCTTGGCTGAAGCAACTGTTCAGGCAGCAGGAATGGCTGCTACTGGTGTAAAAGAACTGGCACAAAGGAGTTCTAGATTGGCATTAGATGTTAACATCAAAGCCCCAGTTTTGGTCGTCCCACAGTCTCCAGTTTCTGAAAATGTTTTTGTTGCTGACTTTGGGCTAATTACAATGACCAATACATTCCATATGATAACAGAGAGCCAGAGCAATCCCCCACCCGTTATTGATTTGATTACCATAAAGCTGAGTGAAATGAGACTATACAGGTAAGCTTTCCACAAATATATTTGTGTAGAATGCAACTTTTTCTAACTTTTTACATTAAAGGCTTTGGTATCCTGAGTCTTCTGTTTACAGTGATATTTCATTACAACTATACTTAATTTTGTGAAGTGCTCTCCTCCAAGTATTTTTGGCAAGATAAATTTAGCCTTCTGGTTTTTGAAAACTTAGAAAGTATTTGAAAATTACTTCTTAAATAATTAGGAACACTGTAAAATTAACTATCTGAGGAAGTATATTTTTGTTTATTTGTAATTCTTTATAAATTATAAGGTTATGGAAGAATTGGAGGAATTCCTGATATCATACATTTATTTACTTCACAAATACAGCATTATCCAAACTACTCTATCAGTTTTGTGCTGTGGATCTGATGTTCGAGATAAAACAAACAAAACAAAACAAAATACACACAGAGAACAACTTTATGTAATCATTGGGCATAGGAGTATGAGTTGAAGGAATAAGTGAATATCCAGATATTTCCAGAACTTTTTACTGTGTTTCTGTGCTGTTTTTGACCAGCTGTTCTGGGTTTAGTGCCCTATCCTTTTTCAGCTTGGATCCATCTCTGTTTATACCTCTCACTTACCTCTTTCTTCCTGTCATTTTTCTTCAGCCTTCTTCTGTTTGTCTCTTTCCCTTTATTTTTGCTACTTCTCTTGACTGGCTTCTGGCTGATCTGTCTTGCTCAGTCTGTCTTTTTTCCATCAATTGAGTACTTTCAATGCAGCTTTATTGAGATATTATTGGCGTATAAACAATTGCATATCTTTAAAGTATACAATTTGATAAGTTTTGACGTGTATACACTTGTGACAATTTGTGTACACTGTAATATTTTTTCCTTAAATATTTGGTAGAATTTACCAGTGAAACTATCTGGTCTTAGAGTTTAGTTGTGGGAGATTTTTAACTACAGTTTTCATTTCTTTAATAAATTTAGGACTATTCAAGTTATTTTTTTTTTGAGTGATCTTTGTAAATTTTTTTCAAGAAATTGTCCATTTCATCCACATTGTAGAATTTTATGGCATAAAGTTGTGTATAGTGTTTCCTTCTTATTTATTAATATCTACAGTGATTTTGCTTCTCTGATTCTTGATATTTATAGTTTATGCATTTTTACTAATAACTTTGGCTAGAGGTTTATCAGTTTTATTGACTTGGGCAGTACTGATAAGGAAAAATTTTCCAGAGAAATTTATCTTTTGACACAGCAATTAATGTTTCTTGCAATTTATACAGAGGAAGAAACTTACTCAGAGATATTTACAAAGATAATCTAAGTGCTTATTACAATGAAGAATTAGAAACAGCATAACACTTTAACAATAGACGATTTATTAAGTGACTTATGGGGCTTTTAGATTCCTTATTACTATTAAGTGGAGATTGCTGCAAACATGCATGAATGGTAAGTATAAGTGTCACTCTATAGTAACTCATAAAATGATAATGATATACTAGGCATTCTGAGAGATCCTGGAAGACGCCCACATTTCTCTCCAGTTGAGTAGGTGATATCTGATACTCTACAGTCTTTGCTTTAAACCCTGGTTGAAGGATTTGAGATTTGCTGCTAATTAAAATATAAGTACGTTATCGAGGAGTACCACTTTGAGATTGTAATTCAAAGGTACAGTGGGAGGCTTCTGTGGTCACATTGTCACTTGAAAGGGGTTCAGTAACCTTCTACACTTTCCATCGTTTTTTACCATCAGTCCTTCCCTTCTAAGGCAAATATGGTTCAGCTTCCATATTCAACTATTTTTGATCCATAGGAAAAAAAAAATTCATATGGTGCAACTTTGTTTCCTATACAGGGATATGTGGTATTCTGCTACATATCTACATCAGTGAATTGAAATGTTTTTATGGGAGGTCTTATATATGTTTATAGATCATATAGGGATAATTCTCATTTTAAGGATTTACTATCCAACTTGTATATGTTTGCACTTCTAAGCATATTGCATACTTCTAATTTAAAAGGTCATAGAACACTTCAACTCAAGAGAAAGTCACCTAGGTTTCTGGGGTGATGGAGGAACATGTCTCATTTTGACATGGAAAACTTAATGGATTTTATTTTTCTCTTCACACACAAAAAATTATTGACTTCTATTAGTATATAAATTTTTTGTTACTATCTGAGTATATATGAAACCATTCACAACAATTTTATTTCTCCTTATAGGTCTCAATATATTAATGATGCATACCGGGAAGTACTGGATATATTACTGCCATTAAATCTCGAGGTGATTGTTGAGCGAAATTTAGCCTGGGAGTGGTACCAGGAAGTTCCTTTTTTAAATATAAATGCTCAACTAAAGCCCATGGAGGTAACTTTTTAGATACATATTGATTCCTCTTTCTTTGGTTAAAAAATGTTGCTTGGGGACACAAGACATTTTGGGTGTAGAAGTTATATCTTTATTAATCACCTTTGTGATTAATAAACCTAAAATTCATTAACTGTTCTCCAGTCATTCAACAAGTATTTGAGTGCCTACTGTGTTGGGCCCTGTGCTAGATATTGGAGATATGGTGGCAGAGAAGCTATTACATTGTCTATGGCTTTGTGGACCTACCAGTCTGATGCAGGGGTTGATGGTGATGGCAGTCCAGAGGTGTGATAGATAATAAAGTACACAGGTACATTATTAAAATAGTTTTAAATTGTGGCAAATTTCATGAAGGAAACAAATATTAGACAGGATGCCATAAGTAGTCAGTTGGATATATTAATGTAGAACTTAGTGGAGGGTCTAGGCTAGAATAGTAATTTGGAAGTCATCAGCCATAGGAATATAAAGTAACCTAGAGAAAGTCCTAGAAGAATGGAGAGGTTAAAGATGAAAATTGCAAATGGGTTAGGACCTTAGGCATACTTTACCTCCCTATTGGTTGATACTGCTTCACAGATCTCTAATGTAACTATCCACAGATTCATATTTTTCCCTCTTGATTGGATGGAAGTCAAAACTATTTCACATTTTGCTGAAGTGACAGCAACATATGTTGTGTCTGGAAGGTTTCTCTTCCCACCCCCCACCCCTAATTTCCCTATTTCTTCCTATAAAATTGTATTGAACAAGAGAAAAAAGTTATTTTAAAGATTTAAGATTTTTAACTTAAAATGCATTTAGAATTTAAAACATGTCAACCGAAAGAAAAATTTTAAATTCTTAGTATATAAGATCATATGGACTTCTTAACTTACAGATGGAGAATATCCTCTTAAGATCAATAATTTAAGTTTCTTTATATTGATAAGACAACAGATAGAAACTTATAAAAGATAAGTAGCATGCTGAGCAAATCCTCTTCCGACTGGGCACAGTCACTAGGCAGATTTATGTGGGGTGGCAGGACAGCATTTTCCTTCCCTCTTCCCCAGGGAGAATCCATGAGAATGTTCCAGTGATATTGCAGATCACCTGCAAATGCCTGGCTGCCTTTGGGGCAGATGAAATCCTGATACACATGAATAGTTAGCAGTTGTAGCCAACCCCTTGGTGGACGTTTCTGACCCCTCTTGGACATCATGCTCTGCATCGGAGAGAAGCTGAAATCATCTAGTCTAATGCATTTAGACTAAGTGCTGCAGCTTGTGATTTCTGACTTATCAGATTTTAGGGATAGCACACACAGCCTGTACCGAGCTGTGGGAGCCATAGAACAACATTATGGGGATCGTTATAGTTCTTTCAGCTTCCTGCACTGAGCTGTTGGCAAGAGTGAAGAGTGATGATTAATATCAAGATTTGGCAGGCATTCAATATACATGTACTAATTGAAAGATGTTGGTTTAGAAATTGTAATATTTCAGTTTATAAACTTACATGAACAGACTGTTTTTGCAATGCCTGCTGCATAATAATTCCAAAATAAATGTCATCGGTAAATAAAATTTTTTAAAAAACCTAAGTAGTAGGTATGCATAATAAAACAATGTAAGTAGCATGAATAAGGTACAAATGGACTTAATCTTAAAATACTAGATTAGTATAGAGGCATATCTTGTTTTATTGTGCTTTGCTTTATTGTGCTTCACATATGTTGCATTTTTTTTAAACAAGTCAAATGGCTCACCTGCTTTTAGCAGCAGTTGGCACCATTTCCCCAACAACGTTTGCTCACTTTTCACTTCTGTCACATTTTAGTAATTCTTGCAATATTTCAAACTTGTCTATTATCATTATATTTGTCATGGTGATCTGTGGTCAGTGATCTTTGATGTTACTATTGTAATTGTTTTGGGGCACTACGAACCACACCCGTACGAGACTGCAAACTTAATAGATAAATGTTACATGTGTTCTGACTCCTCTGCCAACTGGCCCTGGTCAGACTGGTTCCCCCATCTCTCCTCTCTTTGGGCCTCCCTATTCCCTGAGACACAGTAATATTGCAGCTAGGCGAATTTATGACCCTACAGTAGCCTCCAAGTGTTCAAATGAAAGGAAAAGTTCTACCCCTCTCACTTTAAATCAAAAGCTAGAAATGATAAAGCTTAGTGAGAAAGGCGTGTCAAAAGCCAAGACAGGCTGAAAGCTAGACCTAGTGCAACAAACAGTCAAGTTGTGAATGCAGAGGAAAAGTTCTTGAAAGAAATTAAAAGTGAATGCACAAATGATAAAAAAGCAAAACAGCCCAATTTCAGATATGGAGAAAGCTTTAAGGGTCTGGATAGAAGATGAAACCAGGTACAACAGTCTCTTAAATTAAAGTCTAATCCAGAGCAAGACCCTAACTCTCTTCAATTCTCTGAAGGCTGAAATAGGTGAGGAAGCTGCAGAAGAAAAGTTTTAAACTTGAAGTTAAGGAAAAAAACTGTCTCCATAACATAAAAGTACAAGGTAAAGCAGCAAATGCTGATGTAGAAGCTGCAGCAAGTTATCCAGAAGATCTAATTAAGATAATGAATGACTGTGGTTACCCTAAACAACTCAATGTAAAGGATATAGTCTAATATTGGAAGAAGATACCATCTAGGACTTTCATAGTTGGAGAGGAGGAGTCAGCACTTGGCTTTAAAGCTTCAAAGAACAGGCTGACTCTTTTTTAGGGTCTAATGCAGCTGCTGAGTTTAAGTTGAAGCCAATGCTTATGTGCCATTCTGAAAATCCTAGGACCTTTAAGAATTATGCTAGGTCTACTCTGCCTGTGCTCTATAAATGAAACATCAAAATCTGGTGACAGCACATCTGTTTACAACATGGTTTACTAAATATTTTAAGCCCCCTGTTGAGACCTATGGCTCAGGAAAAAAAAAAAAAAAATCTTTTCAACATATTACTGCTCATTGACACTGCATGTGGTCACCCAAGGGCTCTGACAGAGAGGTACAACAAGATTAATGTTGTTTTCATGCCTGCTACTACAACATGCATTCTCCAGCCCATGGATCAAGGAGTAATTTTGACTTTCAAGTCTTATTATTTAAGAAATACATTTTGTATTAGAGTTCTCCGGATAAATAAAACAAGTGTGATGTATGTATTTGTGTGTATATTTGGCCTTGGTGCATTAGACTGACTTCTTGAAGACTTGGTTTTAGCCTCTCCTTGATGCTGAGGTAAAGATCCAGGAGGGGTCATATAAGTGGTTCACCAACGTGGGCTACAACAGCTACTAACTACTAAGTGGGTCATGGTAGGGATAGACCCAATTTCATTCTAGTGGGTCTGCTCCAGAAGGCAGCTGGGCATTTGTAGATGGTCTGTAGCATCATATATATGGTGTGTGTGTAAAACATCTAAGAATATATTTGACCAAATATTTGGATACTGTGAGCCAGCCAAATTGACATAAAATTAACCATCACAGCTTTCAGGACAGGTCCTGTGCTGGTGATTTTAGGCTAAATTCCAAGCACATGGGGTTTTTAGTTTTTGTGTTAAGTTTGTTAAGTGGACTAAAGTATGATATTAAACCATTTAAGTCTCAACTTCTTATAAAATGAGGATTATATTCTTTACACCTAGGGCTTGTGAGGTTCAAATAAAGTAATTCATGTAAAACACATTGTGAACTATTTTTCATTATACAAATGTATTTTTTATTATCCTATATTTATAAATTGAGCTGCTTACTAACCAAAAGAAGGCAGTTGGTAAGTTGTAACAAAAATAGTTCATCATTCATAGCTTCATGGATATTGGCATTTAATTTCATTCTGTATTTCACAAGGTAGTAAAAATCATGTGGTTATTTAAAACTAAATATTCAGTTAGTGGAAATATCTCATGTGTAAAAATTGGTTTTGTAGAGGATTGAAATGAAAATTATTTTTGTTGTATATGAATTTATTACTATATGAAGTAGTAATATTAAAATAAGCAAATCTTTTTTTAAACAGTTCATTCTTAGTCAAGAAGATATAACAACTATCTTCAAAACATTATATGGTAATATATGGAATGAAAGAGGTGATAGTGCCTCACTAGCAGGACCGAAAGATCAGAGTAGTGGTGTTAATAATGCTTCACATCATTCAGGAGGTATGTTCTTGATCTTAAATTCTTTCTCCCCCCATAACCCCCACTTCTCTTCTTTCCTTCCATTCTCTATTTCTAGTTTTGGGTAAAATAAGATTTATAAATCTTTTTGAATTATCTAATCCCATTCAGGTATCTCTAAGTCATTCATCATTAGTCATTCTGTTGATTTTTACTTTGATTCAGAATCCTGAGTCCTGTTGTGACAAAAAGCCTCGATATTTATTCTTGTTATCCCAAATTCCCTGTAGGTCCCTTTTTTCAGTTTTTCTTCCCTTACCTCCTTTTCTCCCTTATTTTTAGTGCAGCATCTATCCCAGATGGGCTATTTTATATTGATAATAGGCGTATTAAAATACTAGAGGTGTCCGGAGAGGACAAACATGAATAAATTATGGATTTCAACAAATATATGAAGGCTAGATGGAAGGAACAGAATAGAAGGAACCATAACTCAGAAAGTCTGTGCATCCAATGTTGGCTATAGTGTGCTATGTGGAACCTGATTGGGTTCTAAGTTTAGCACCAGTACAGACAGAGAATTAGATCAATTTGGGCTGCTGGGATGATTTTGCTTCACAAGAACAAAGTTCTCATTCTGGCATTTTGGGAGATCCGCAAACCTACCTATCTTAAAGTGCAACCTACTAGCTCATAAGACCCACTCTTGCCCTGAGATTTTTACACAGCTTTTTTAGTCAAGGAGAATCCTCACACACAAACAGCCCTACATTTATAACATTGCAGGAAACGCCACCCTTCCCTGCTAGAATGACCAACTCAGTCCTTTACTGTCAAATATAAATGGGGAGATGTGAAGAAAATCACAAGAACCTGAGTATGAAAGTAACCAACATAAACAGAATAGGTAATTGGAATCAGATTTATCAACAAAACTGGATGGATGGAATGGATGGATGATAAAAGACAATGGAGTCATATGGTCAAATTTCTAAGGATTTTGAACGTAGGCTTCTATATAAGGCCAAACCATCATCCAAATGTGAAAACAATAATTCTTAGCTATTTAGTCCCACAAAGTTTACTTATTTTATACCCATTCCTCAATAAATTAGTTTCAAAGTATATTTTAGCAAAACAAGGAATTCAGGAAAGAGGAAAACATGAAATACAGAAACAGTGGGCCTACCCAGGAGTACACTGAAAAGGAATCTCAAAACTTTCTGTTACTGGAATCTGTAGTAAAAAGTACTTCATTTTCATTAAAGAGGAATTCAGAATACTTGAAGAAAAAAAGTGGAAGACTGTCTTAAAAAAAAAATGGTATAAATTCTATAATATATGTAGAAGAGGAATTAATTTTAGTAATTTTCCCTTTATCCATGGGGGATACTTTTCAAAACCCCCAGTGGATGCCTGAAACTGAGTAGTACTAAATGCTATGTATATTATGATTTTTCCTATATATACATACCTGTGGTAAAATTTAATTTGTAAATTAGGCACAATAATAATATAGCACAATTGTAACAATATACTGTAGAAAAAGTTATGTGAATGGCTTTGAGGCCATTATTAAGTAAAATAAGGGTTGTTTGAACCACAAGTCTGCGATACCATGACAGTCTGTTTGATAGCCAACAGGGCTATGAATTGACCAACAGGCAAGTAGTATATACAGAATGGGTATGCTGGACAAAGGGGTGATTTCGTGTCTTGGGCGGGATGGAGTGGGGATGACATAGATTTAATTATGCTACTCAGAATGGTGTGCAATTTAAAACTTAGGATTTATTTCTGGAATTATCCACTTAATACTTTCAGACCTTTGTTGACTCAGGTCACTGAAACCACAGAAAGTGAAACTGGGGATAAGGGGGAGTGACAATAACTACCTTACATAAGTAATATGGAGAGGAGGACATGCTTTGTGTTCCTAAGAAGGGAGAAATCTATACTGTATAGTCTGGTGCAGAAGTGGAGTAAATTTTGCATGATTTTGAGCCATTGTTAGAATGTGAGAAGAGATTCCCTCTTTTTTGAGAGATGCACTAGTTGTAATGTAGTAGCAGAGGAAGTATTATAATGAACTATTAGTATCTTCATTTAAAATTATTACATAGCTGTAATTAACCCAGACATGGACGACTTACTCTGTAAATAAGAATGTAAATGTTATTAGTCATATTAACATAGTAGTAAAGACATAACTGACCAAAGCTGGAAACAGGAAGATGGGGCTGATGGAGGAAATAAGTGGTAAGGACTTAAAATAGTAGGGAGTGCAAAGATAATGTCTAAAATGGACAGAATGAAAGATAGACATTTAAATATATTATTATTTTATTCATTCTCTTCTAGAAATTTTTGTACAGACACCAAAGTAGATAGGAGTAAGTTAGTGGACCCGTATGTACCCATTACCGAGTTTCAACAATTAATATAACGTGGCTGCTTTTTTTGCTACTGTAACTTTCCTCCTTTTCTATACCCATTTAATAATTCTGACTTTTTTCTTTTATCCAATAACTTTAATTTTTTCAAGGAACAACTGTAGTGACAGCTGCTGTGGTAGAAATATATTCACGTGCCTCTCAAGTTAAGACAACACTAAATATGAGTTTCAAAACTGATTATCTCACCATGGTACTATATAGTCCAAGTCCTGAACAGGTAAGTTGAGGAGAAAAATATATTTTTCACTTGATGAAAAGTATATAGCGAATGTTTATCAAAATAATAGTTATTAATATTTCATGTATATTTTGGAGTATTTGTTTCTGTGAGAAAAATTATGGATCTTTTTTCACTTTAATAATAAAATAATTTTAACCATTTCCGCTATAGCCAGTGATGTGAAAAATAAAATTTTAAATTAAAGTCAATATATTTTTTGGCCTTTCTTAGTGAGCCCTTTGGAGACAGAGAATGTGGCAGCTCATATCTTTAAAAATGCTTTGTATTTATGTTTTAGTGTAAAACTTGTATTGATTTTCTCTTCCACAGACTTCCTTTAAAGACATTCGAGATCCTTCTCTGGCACTTGCTGAATTTAAGTTGGAGAATATAATAAGTACTTTAAAAATGTATACAGATGACTCAACATTTTCTTCCTTTTCATTAAAAAACTGCATTTTAGATGATAAAAGGCCTCATGTCAAGAAGGCAACTCCTAGGTAATAGTGTTCTGAGTTTTTACTTGAGAAATGGTTGATATATTTTATAAAACTTAATTCCCAAAGTTGCATGTTCATTTTTTGGGTTCACCCTTAAGATCTTCAGAGCTTCAATTCAGTTGAGTCATGGTTCTCAGTCAACATTTAAAATGTCTTGGTTCGCCTGGCCGGGCGTGGCTCAGCGGTTGAGCGTCGACCTGGGATCCAGGTGATCGGGGTTCGATTCCTGGTCAGGGCACATGCCCTGGTTGTGGGCTCAATCAGTGACTCTCTCATCATTGATGTTTCTGTCTCTCTCTCTCTCCTCTCCTTTCCTCTCTCTGAAATCAATAAAGATATATTTTTTTAAAAATTAAAATAATAAAATAAAATAATAAAATAAAATAAAATGTCTTGGTTCATGCCCTGGCTGATGTGGCTCAGTTGGTTGGAGCATTGTCCCATATACCAGAAGGTGGCTGGTTCAGTTCCTGGTCAGGTGTGCATATGGGAGGCAACCGATCCATGTTTCTGTCTCCCCTCTCTCTAAAGTAAATAAATAAATAAATAAAGACATAAAATGTCTTGGTTCAGTTATGTGCTGCTCTTTCTGGATGGTTGATAGATTAGTTAAGTAGAAATAATCAGTGTAATTATTTTGATTTTTTTAATTTATATTCTCAAAATTATCAATTCATTCAAATTTTAATGGGAAATACATGAAAAATTGAGAGGAAAAATATGCTGAGATTTAAAATTCTGATAATTTCTTAAAGACACATACACTTCCTAATTTGTAAAACAGTTATGCTCTAGTCTGTAAGTCTATTATTTGGAGTACTTTGAGGTCTTCCTATGAAAAATGACTTCAGAAGATGGTTGGCTGTCAGTGAAAGAGATGAGGTCTTTGAGCTTTATTGGTGTGTTTAGTTATTTTTAAGATACTCATAGGAATTGCTATTGTGTTTTTCAGAATGATAGGACTGACAGTTGGATTTGACCAAAAGGACATGATGGATGTAAAGTATAAGAAAGTCAGAGATGGTTGGGTGACTGATTTAGTCGTTCAGGAAACATATATCTGTGCAAGTGTGGAATTTCTACTGACAGTTGTAAATGTCTTTCTTGAGGCCTACACCACAGGCACTGCTGTAGAAACCAATGTTCAAGCATGGACTACTAAGGAAGAAGGTTAGTGATTAACTAAAATATTTAATATCTGTGTTACTGAAGTGCTACAATAGCACTTACTTTGATTAGCTTTCTAGATCAGCAATTTTCAAACTGTGTGCTACAAGAATTTTTAAAACATGTAGTAGCTGACTAGTCAGGGGCACTGACCTCTTTTCCCTTAGATTGTCAAATAAAAAAAATGACAATAGCCAACACAACAGTCTTCATTCAGTATGAATGAATCAAAATTATTCCTTTTTTTTTTTTTTTTTTGTCAGATTGGCAAAAAATATATTTTTTGGTGTGCTGCAGAATTTTAGTAATTAGTATATGTGTACCACGAGATGAAAAAGGTTGAAAATAGCTGTTCTAGTTGGTGAGATTAAGTGAATTAATAAATTAAAATCTTTATTTTTCAGAGGTATGAGGAAAACATGTACTTTGTGTTGGGATGTGCATTTTGCATCTTTTTCAAGGTGTGACTATATATTGGGTTCAAAAATTAATGAGATCTATATTAGAATAAGTACTTGTACTTCTCTGCAGACAGTAATTTGAAAGAATTTTTTGGAGGAAAACCAGCAGAGAGAAATAATGAACCAACCACTCCTTTTCATTATTAAAGATAGTATTTTAACTTGAAATACTCTTATTTTTGTTTTATTTATAGTTTTCCACTATCTTTTACATGTTTCATTTATGGTGGTATAGTGGAAAGAGTGTCAAGTTGAAAGTTAGAAACTGGATTAGTTTTCAGTTTTGCCATTACATAGTGGAAAATTTCCCCCACATTTTAATTTTTTAATTTTAAAATTTCCCCCTCCCACATTTTTAAATGTATTTATATGATTATAGCTTCTTCAAATCTTACACTAAGAGAGTTGCTATAGATACCTTTGGGATCTCAAATTCCTTTATTTCATTCCTACTTAGAATGAAAATAATTTTCCCATAAATAATAAATTTTTCTTAAATATGTATGGCAAAGATTTATAAATATTTTAAATTATTCATTTATTTTTATTTCTATTTTAGTACCTACACAGGTACAAGAAAAGTGGGAAATTAATATTCTTATTAAAAATCCTGAAATTGTTTTTGTGGCTGATATGACGAGAAATGATGCGCCTGCCTTAGTCATTACAACACAATGTGAAATTTGTTGGAAGGGTGACCTTGAACACAATACAATGACTGCTGCTATTAAAGATCTCGAACTGAGAGCATGCCCATTTCTTCCAGTCAAGAGAAAAGACAGAATCACTACTGTGAGTTTACTATTTAATTATCTGCTTAATTGTAAACTGTTCTGGATTTAGTATGTACCACTTTAGGAATCTACCTCCAGACTTTCCAACCTTTTCCTATAAAGTACTTTCTTTTTCCTTGGAGAGCCTAATCTGGATTATTATTACACCACTTTGAAAGTCTTTTTCATTCTTCCAATTGTTCCTCATTGTCTTATGTATTTGTGGGAATAATGTCACTAAGAAGCCGCTTTCATCTTCACACTTCTTGACACCTTACTCGGACTTTCTATCCATGTCAGTTCCACACTGCTCTTAGGCCTTGAAGACTGTCTACCACTTGTTTGAGATGTTGTTGCAATTTTATTTTTTTCATATTTTTCACCCATCTGGACATTTTGCTCAGAGGTTTGTGTTTGCTTTTCTCCATGGGATGTATTTGAACCTCAGCCATTTGCTTTGACATACTTCACATTTGTATTTTACTCTAGCAACCGCTTGGCCTTCCTCCTCTTCATAACCGATTAAAATTTATTTCTTCAAAGACATCTTTTCAAGTTAACTATCTGACTCCTAGTCTTATAAAACACTTATAAAAATGTTTAGTCTTGTACAGGAATAATAGAAGCATAAATGTTCTAAAAATTATCAACATAGAAATATAAGCTATAATTCCATAGTTTGTAAGGCTGATGGCTCTTCAAGAACAGAGAGGGTATAGAAAGCTGAGGGCATACTTATGATTCTCTTTTAGTTGATGACTGAAATTTTATACATATTTCTTCTATTTACATCATTCGGCATCATCGTAGCTATGTGACCATACCTATCTGCAAAAATGGTTGGAGAATGTGGTCTTATTTTTTCAGTTACCTTGTGCCCAGATAAATCTTGTATTAATTACTGTGGAAGAAAAGAATAGATACCAGGACACTGGAGGTTCTTCTCGCAATCCACTCAGTGGTTTCGTCCTTTGCCCACACTGATAATCCATGTTTGACTTTTCTTACCTCCACCTCAAGGGATATGGTCTCAGCTCAAAATCCAGGATCTTTAGGTGGTAGTTTTCTTTGTTGAGTCTATATGTGACTTCTCTTGGTCTGGATGAATGTAAATAGAGGAGGTATCTTGGGAAATGACATTTATGCTAATGTCTGAAGGATGAGTAGGTATTAGCCAACTGAACAGAAGCAGGGGAGTCATGGGAGTGTGTTTCAGGATGAAGGTATAGCATATGCAGAGAACCTGGGCTCCAGAGAGCACAAGTTCCCACCCTACGTCTACCCATGTACCAACATCTATACTTATATATGCTGACTTTTTTCATGTTGTTCTGTGGTTCTCAACTTGAGGCAGTCTTCCCACCACCAAGATAGTGTTTGTAAAGTAGGGAATTTATGGTAAGCTCTTGTAGGCTTGGATAGTTGGATAGCCTAAGATTGTTTATTTGAAGGGGAAGCAATAGCAGCAGGAAAAGAACGCATCAATATCTAAAATCACATAAAACGGGAGCAGTATGGTGAGAATTAGAGTAGTAAGAAAAAATTAAAATAGCACTAAAATTACAATGGATGTAGTTGGAGACAATAAAATAATACTAATAGGAAAATAATTCCATTTTTAAAGATACGTTTCTACATCTTTAAATTTACCTGTGTGGACTGTGTTATGGACAGCTTGGACTGTAATGTAGTTTTGCCCTAGCACGTTGGATCAGCTGCATTTTTAATCCTAGGTGTCTTAACTAGACTTGAAAATATAGGAGCTGAATAAGGAGCACAGCATACGCTCATATTTATTTTGGGAAGAGACCGAAAAAGAAAAAGCCAATTAAAAATATTCAAGTTAGAAACTTTTTTTTTTCTTTTTTTTTTTATTGTTCAAAATATTACAGATGTCCCTTTTTCTCCTTCCACCCAGTCCCTCACCACACCAAGTTAGAAACCTTTATCTGTATTTATAATAGTATTTTTTGTTTTTGCTTTTTGCCTTCCGTAAGATGAAGATATAACACAAATTTTGTGTTGAAAATCTTGAATTATGTATTGTAATGTGGCTATAATTTCCTATCCCTGAAGTTTCAAGAAATAATATATTGAATATTTAAGTCACATACTAGTTAATTTGCTGATTTATTAGAATAATGGTAGATTTTAATGTGATTTTTTTTGGAGAATGGGTTTGGTTGCCATATTTTTTTCCCTGATTTATTTTTCATTTTTAATGTAGGCAGATTTCTGAAATGGTCCTGAAGATTTCTAACCCCTGTTACATGTGCCCAGTATAGTCCTCTCCCATTGAGTGTGGACAGGACCAATGAATATAATTAGATTACTAATCAGTTAACTTAGAGCTAACTAAAGAGAGAGATTCTGGGTGGGCCTAACCTAATTTTTAAAATGCCGGCATTGAAGAAGCAAGCTGCCCTGTTGTGGAGAAGGCTGCATGGCAAGAGCCCGTGAGCGACCGATAGGAGTCAAAATCAGTCACTGGCTGACAGCACAAGCAAATGGAGATCTCGGTTTCAGGGCCACAAAGAAATGAATTGTACTAACAACCTGAATGAGCTCGGGAGCAGATCTTTCCCAGGCAAGTCTCAGGATAAAGACACAACCAGCTGATACCTGATTTCAGCAAGATGCTTGACCCATGAAAATGAGGAAACAATAAATGTGTGTTGTTTTAAGCTTCTAAGTTTATGGTACTTTGTTATACAGCAATGGGAGACAAACACAGATTTTTGTACCAGAAATAAGATGTAGCAATTATTTAAAATGTGAGAGCAGCTTTGGAACTGGGTAGTACACAGAAGCTGGAGGAATTTTGAGGAGAATGATAGAGAAAGCCTAAAGGCTTTACTAAATCTCAGATAAAAAAAAAAAAAAAGTATAGTGTTCAGTCACAACAAAGGGCCCTTTCAAGAGATTATTGTGTGTTTCTTTTATGTATTTTCTGAATCAAACCTGAGAAACTGTAGGAATCATAAGGGTGTCACCCCTCAGCTGTCTCAGCAGGAGGCAATGATTACCTAAAAAAGATCTGTAATTGTGGCTTTTGGAGTAAAACCAAACTAATGGAGTAAAACCTCATGAAATCTGCAGAAGACCCTTAAGGTTCTTGAGAAAATTATTTTAGCAGAAACACTGCCAGCACAGACTGAGAGGGCGTGGAGTACAAAATGAAGAGACTCTTGGACCCGTAATATTCTACTGGCAGGAAGCAGGACGATAAAACTATTCCGCTTCAGAAAAACCACCAACTAAGAAAAAAAAAAGAAACCTGTTATAAAGAAGGAAGGATGACTCAGGGTGGAGATGAGAACCACGGAGAATTGTTATTAGGCTTTGAAACCTAATCAAGAAACGAATTTACTTGGCTGGATTTCAGAACATTTTGGACAAATGACTCCTTTTCGCCTTCCATTTCCCCCTCTTGAACGGGAATATCTGTAATTGTTATCCTGTGTCTGTCTGTCGCACCATTCTGTGTTGGGAATGGTGGGAGCAGGTAACTCATCTAAGTTTCACAGTTCCATAAAGGGAGAGAAATTGTGCCCTGGCAGCTGTGCTTAATAGATTACACCCAAGAATTTCATCAGCACCTGGAGCTGATTTAGTTTCAGACTTTGAGTTAGTAAGAAATAGATGAGATTTTGGATTTTTGAATCAATGAGAGAAATAGATGAGATAGATGTACAATGAGATACAGACTTAGATAATATGATTTTGGACTTTGGGCTCTAATGGAATAAGACTGTTAGGAACCTTAGGAGGACGTGAATATATTTTGTGTTTGTGAGGAATATCAGTCACTGGGTGCTAGAGGACAGAACCCTGCTTACCACAGTTAGAGAAAACTCAGTTAATTTATAATTACATTAAGGATTATTTAGTAAATCTAATGTATTTATAATTTTTTGTCTCATCTTTTGTAGCTTTATCTATATAGATTAACTTATTTCATTCTAATTTTATAATGGAAAATATACCATGCTGAAGTTTTTATTTTAGTAAGTAAAATAAAATATGTAATACAAGTTTTATATATTTCTATGCTTAAGCATATTTAAGAAATCCTACATATTGTTTTATTAATACTGCTAATATTAATACTTGCTATTATAAGTAAAGAGGATAATTAAGAAGTGGGTTATTGAGTCAGTTATTTTTCAACAGTTTTGACTAACTTGTTTATTTAATATTGTTAGCTATTATTAGGAAGTTCTTTAAATAAAAGTATTTTAAGAACAATGGTAATTTAGTGTTATTGATTTTTCTTATAGGTTTTACAGCCCTGTGACTTGTTCTATCAAGCTACTCAGATAGGTGGAGATCCACAGGTGATTGATATATCAGTAAAATCTCTGACACTAAAGGTAAGTTAAAATGTAGTCAGTCATTTAGATATTTAGTGAACTTTTTAAAAAATTAAAGCTAGAAATAAACAATTATTATAGCAAAATTTTTAATTGTTATATAAACAAAAACAGCTGTGTTTTAAAAATATTTTAATATCTGTAAGATTCATGTAAATATCTTAATTGAAATTAGTTATAATCAAAAAATTTTTGTGGGCAGTGAATTGTACTTGCTATTTCATGGTAGTAATATTATTACTTCACATTAATTACTCATGATCCTTCAGCAAATAAATTTAATTTTCTTTGAAGTATGTATTTTTAAAGGTTGAATCAGTAGATTTTTTATTAGTTTACATTTTTTTCCTTAGGTTTCACCAGTTATCATAAATACTGTGATTACCATAACTTCAGCACTTTATGCAACTAAGGAAACCATCCCACAAGAAACTGCTTCTTCTACAGCACATTTATGGGAAAAGAAGGATACGAAGACTTTAAAAATGTGGTTTCTTGAAGAACCAGATGAAGTTAAAAACATAGCTCCCACAACTGAATTGGTACCCCAAGGAGAGAGAATAAAAATGAACATCGATTCTATTTTTGTAGTTCTTGAGGCTGGAGTTGGTCATAGAACAGTGCCTATGCTTTTGGCAAAATCACGTTTTTCAGGGGAAGGCAAAAACTGGAGTTCCCTCATAAATCTCCACTGTCAGCTTGAGTTAGAAGTAAGTATATGTAGTATTTTTTCTAGGTTTTATAACAAATAATGCTACACATGGAATATTTTGAAAATCTTATTTAAATATTTAAATTAAGCATATTATAAATATGATGTTGGCTCGCAAAACTTGTGGAAGGAAGTTTACAAATCTATGCCTTTGGTATAGTTTTATGTGTACAGTACGACCTCACTTAGTGTCATTGATAGGCTCTGTCACTTTAAGCAAAAGGACATGACATAAAACCAGTTTTACTGTAGCTAATTGATATGAACAATAGTTAAATTCCTACATCTCATCAGTGTTATAACAAAACAGTGGTGAACAAAACAATGTTATTGAGGATCTGCTGTATATTACTTTTAGACTACATATCCACACTAAGTTTATATTTCAGTTGATTTTATCAACTTAAACGTGATATATTAATAGACAGTTATTGATTAGATTCAGAATTCTTATTTTTAAGAATTAAATTGAATACCTTCCTTTAAAAGAAAAATAAACTATTTCTGAATCTCTTCTAAAAGAGTAATATAAAGAATTAGAAGGATATGTCTTATACTTCTATATAATGCAGTCTTTATACTCGCGTGAGAATCCACTAAGATCTTTAAAATTTTTGTGAGAGTGCTTTATACAAGAAATATTTACTTTGAACCAGTGTATATTTTGCTTCAGAATTTATATATAATCATTCCCCAGAGATACTTTGGTTTAAACTATTAATTGAGTTCAGTGGAGACTAATCTGATGATCTATCTTTTATTTAAAAAAATTGAGATTTATAAGCTGCTCTATTATTTGTATTGATACAGTTATATATTAATATGGAAATGACTGACTAGCTTACAACTGTTCAAATTTTGGCTAGAATTTTGTGTATTTTCCAAAGGATTTAATCTAGGTTGTCCAGTAATTTCAGATAATTCAAATAAATAAACACTCATTGAATCCTATGTTACTTGCTTTCAAAGTCTTTTGAAAAGTCAGTGGAGGTAGACAGACATGTTAAAAAATGGCAATAATATATGATAGACAAACACAGTCTCTTATGTTTAACCTGGCCTGGAAGTCAAGGAATCATGATTGAAAGAGAGTTTAATCTGGATTAAATTATGAAGACTAAACTATGAAAGTAACCAGGTAAAGAAAGTGCTGAGGGTGTGTGTGTAGGAAACTGAGTGGCATGTAGTATGGTTTTCATATAGGAGAAATAGCACCATGCCAAAAGGAATGGTAGTGGGAAATAACATGGAAGAACATTTTAGCAAATACCAGAATGCCTTATTTAAAAAATTAAAAATTCTCTCCATAGGTGCATTATTACAATGAAATGTTTGGTGTATGGGAACCTTTGCTTGAACCCTTAGAAATTGATCAGACTGAGGATTTTAGACCATGGAATCTTGGGATCAAGGTATATTTGAAGTCTAAATATTATTTAAAAATTGAGGATATCTACACCACGTAAGACATGTTAATTTTAATCACAACAAAGCTCAACTTTCTCATTATTAGTCTTGTTGCATGCTTCCCTGTTTGATCTGGTGGATGTAAATTTTCAAACCCAAGGCCAATGCCCTCCTATGCTTTTTCAAATACAAATAATTATATAACATTTATTATGTACTAAACACTATCTAAATGACATACTTTTACTTTCACCCTTGTAATAACTATCTGAAGAATATACAGTTTTTAATGTCATTATAACATGTGAGAGGACAGACAAGAGAGGGGCTTCATTAAAGTAATAATACCTTGAAAGTGGAGGAGGTGGGTTGCAATTCTGGCTGCAGAGGCCCCACTCATATTAAAATGCTGCTAGCATCTTATAGGTTGTTGTTTATCCTGTGTTTCCTTTGTCTACTGAAAGATGTGTATATGGAAGAAAATATATTATTATTAATTTGAAATATGTTGTGAATATTTATGTAATTGTAAGAATCAGGACCTTTAGATGATGAAATTGTGCTTGTGAAGCAGAAGATTATGGAATAACTGGCATGTTTCCTCCCTAATGACCATTCAGTCAACCTGCAGACAGATTTTCAGTGGTTTTTAAAGCCAATTAAAGTAACAACAAAAGTGACTAGATTGGCATCACCAGCTTTTTGTATTAGATCACTACACTTGATTTTCCACATATTTCAGACGAAGGATTTGGATAAAGGAACTTATTTGGTGGTTTTTAGGTCGAAACATACATGGGCACTGGATCTGTGAATCCTAAAAAGAGGTAGATGGTACTGTTTCTCATGAGTTCTGGGTTCTCGTGGCACTGTTCTACAACTGTTGTTGGACTTCTTAAGTCCCTGACCTTCTGTTCTTTATTTCTACCATGACCAATAGATTAAATGGCTTTTTTTGCTCTGAATTTTCACTTGCTATGAAGTATGCACTTTTCATTTTCATTCTGATGCCACTTGCATTTAATAATTATGGCATAGTGTTTTTTTGTACTAAAATGTGCCTGTCATTTTAGTATCACTGAGGATGAGAAGAATTCTTCCCTTAATACTGCTCTGGTGTTATGTGACCTTAGTTGGCTGATGTCCAAGTAATTCCAATAAGGCAGTGGAACTGATAAAAATGTTTACTCTCTCTAATGTTACTGGGATTTTTCTAAAGTTTGTTTTTCCTTTGCAAAATGAGTTATGTTGTGCTCTTAGGAACAAATTTTCCTTATATTTCTATAATTTACATGTCATTTTAGATGAAAAAGAAAGCAAAACAGGCCATTGTTGAGTCAGATACTGAAGAAGATTACAGAGTGCCAGAATATAAAACTGTCATCAGTTTCTATTCAAAAGACCAGCTAAACATTACATTATCCAAATGTGGTCTTGTAATGTTAAATAATTTAGCCAAGGTAAGAAAAGACATTTGAAACTTTAAATGTGGCTGTACTAGTCTGAGTTAACCCTTTTCTTGAATAAAACGTTTTTTATTAAGTTAGTTATTTGTCATTTGTTCATTAGTGTTCTGCTTGACATGTAGTTGTCCACATTTCACTTTATTTTATTATAACTCTTCCTTATTAGGCATTTACAGAAGCTGCTACTGGATCTTCAGCTGTCTTCATAAGGGATCTAGCGCCATTTATGATTTTGAATTCTCTTGGACTTACCATCTCTGTCTCACCAAGTGATTCTTTCAGTGTGCTCAATGTTCCAATAGCAAAATCATATGTATTGAAAAATGAGGAAAGTTTAAGTATGGATTATGTCCGAACAAAAGACAATGATCATTTCAATGCAATGACCAGCCTAAGCAGCAAACTTTTCTTCATTCTCCTTAGTAAGTGATAAATTACCTTCCTGGGGCTTTAATTTCTTTTAAGTTGTATTTTATGTTCCATTTTACTCATTTATGATATCTTACAAGTTTTTTTATCCCCTTCCTAATAGATTGGGGATTTGTTTCTTCCTTTGCAGGGCTTTCATTACTATTGTCACTATATTTTTGTATGCCAAATTCTAACTTTCTTTATTCACTGCTTTCTTAGAGCATGGTAACGCACTGCTTTATATTTTTGGGAGGAAAAAATACTAGATCTCATTCTTACTCAGCTTTTACAGACTATAGCTATTGGTGATTGTTGTTTTTTTAACTACCTTTGGTATAACTAGGTAGTATTCCACCAGTGCAGTTGAGTGAATTCAAAATAAGGTTTGAGTTTATGGAAATGACACATTTGAATGATTAAGGGTTTGTAAATGGTTTTATGTTATGTTTATTGAAGTGGACATTTTTGGGGGCCTTTCTGATTCCCAGAAGTTTTTCATTTTCATAAGAAGTGAAAGTAAATAAATTCTTAAATTATCATTATATCTACTCACTGTAAGTTAAATAGTCCCAAAGCCATACCCACACCACTTTTTGATAACTTCAACGTTTAATTAGTTAAGGTGGAGCACATTTGAAAGGTTAATGAGATATTGGGTAGGAGCACCAAAACTGACAGCTAGCGCTGTCTTCTAGTCAGGAAATGATGCTCATCAGTGGCTAGGTTTCAGGTGTTGTCCAAGCATTGGCAGTGAATTCTTCTTGTCAGTTTTACCTCTGTTTGTTTTTGAACTAACATTTTCATGGAATGGAGTTGGGGGGGGGGTAATGTAAATAATGTAAATAATTCATCCCTCAATACAGTGTATGTGTGTACATTACATACATTTGTATAAAATTTTGTTTGCTGAAAAAATTAAAAATGGAAAAATTGTAGCTACCTTGGTAATTGCCAATGACTGTCAGAAGGTATTAAGCTCTGGTTATTACAACAGCAAATCAAAGATCAGTTTTCTTGTATTTTATAATAATTCTTCTCATTAGTTATTTTGAAAAGGCTTATGAAACTTTTTTGTTCATATGTGTTGTTGTCTTAGGTCAAACTGCTGAATGAAATTTTTTTTCAATTAAATATTTTCTCCGTAAAAGATTTTGAAGGTTTTGGATGAATATGGTGGAAATGCATTGTGGTTTCTTACAATATCCCTTTGTATACATCATATCTATACAAAAAAATACCCTTTGTATAATCCCTTTATATAGTTTTAAATCCAAAGACTTGAGTGACTGTTCATAACTTTAAGAAATCATCTGATGTCTCTGATATTTAACATCTATTTAAAGTTAATATATGATGATTTATAATAAAAATTTTCAAACATATATGTTCCATTTAGCACCTGATAACCACTCTGCTGCTGATAAAATTCCTTTAACAAAAGTGGGACGACGACTGTACACTGTAAGACACAGAGAATCTGGAGTTGAAAGATCTATTGTTTGTCAAATTGATGCAGTGGAAGGAAATAAGAAGGTAACAGTTCGCTCCCCAGTGCAGGTATGAAATGATACAGTTTTTTGGGGGGTTATATGTATATTTGTGTGCTAATAAAAAACAAAACTAGACTAAAGCAAATTGCTCCCCCAAAAAATACAAATTATAGTAGGAATACAGCTAATAACAAAAAGAAGAATCATTACCAGTAATTGTACTACTCTAATATGAGCAGTAATTTTTTTATTGAATGCCTAAAATTGTGAATTTTACCTTGCTGGATTTTTTATATATATTTGTATTTCTATTTGTGTTCTTGAACTTTATTCTCTAATATAGTTATGTTAGTTGGAAAGTGATCCTCTCATTCCTTATTTTTAAACTTTTTAGGTGGGACTCAAGCAGCCTTTAGTCCAGGGCTAATTTTGCACCACTAGTAAGGCACTGCAACTAATACCTTCTGTACTAAATGAGGTTTTACCACTTTGGCTGGTGAGAAAAGGAACTATGTGTCAGTACCAGAGATTGTTCTGCCTGCCCCTTTTAGGTAGATCTTTCCTAAGCCTTAGATAGTTTACTTGTGTATATGCTGCTCAGTAGTGAACTGAAGTCTGGAGTAGGGCACACTCTTAAACCTCGGGAACTCGCACCTCTCTGCGCAGTGCTCTCCTCTCTCGTGCAGTGTCGTATGAGTTTAAAACCACACTGATTTTCTAAAATTTTCATCTCTCTCTTTCACTCAGGCAGACTTGGCTCTGTTTGACTTCTCGTTTTCTGTACAGTAGCCTAGAAACTATCCAGGCAGCAAACTGGAGCAGTTTTAGGGCTTTTCTTGCTGGACTTTTTTATTTTGTTCTTTTCTCTGCTGCTTATTACCCAGTGTCTGAAAATCATTGTTTAATGTGTATTTCCCCCCCTGTGTTTAGTTGTTTAGGTTAGGAAGGTATATCTGGTCCCTATAATTCCATTATGGCTGAAAGCAGAAATTCCTTTTCTTTCTTTCATGATTTATAATTAACTGTTTTAAAAGATGACAGGCTTTTCTCGTTATTGTTGATTTTTAAAATTTCATTAAGTAAACATTAATTTTAAGATCTTATAGGTATTTAGAGAAATCAAAATGTATTCTTAAGGCTTTAAGTAGGTGGAGCAAATAGTATATCTAATAATAAAATAGAGTGAAGTTAAGACTATCTGCTTAATCTTAGTTCTCAGCATGTTTTATATTTCAGTATGATATTTTTTAATTAAAAGGATATTAGTGAGATATAGAAAGAAAGTAGTCTTACTAACCAGTTTGTTTTTATCCATTCAAAGACAAGTATATTTGTTTGTAGGTGTATCAAATAATATGTGATAATCAACACTGTGTTTGTTACCTTTATATCGCTGCTGTATGCCACTTATTGGATGAGATAAACTCCATGCACCGTATCTCATCCAATGAAAAGCATACAACAGCAATATAAAAGGTGGGCATTTCCCAGCCTGAGGCTTGTTTCTTACTCCATCACAGACATTTAAAATTTTGATGTAAAATTTTTTCCTATGAACTTTTTTACTATTCTTGTCTAAGGAAGAAGTTATTCCTTATCTCGAAGTCAAGATGATACTACCTTATTTCATTCTAGGATTTTTAAAGTTTTATTTTTGATATTTCTGGTCTATAAAAGTATGGAAACTTTTCTTATATTTTTAGGATAAATAATTGCATGTTTATTTCTTTTCTAATTTATATAAGCAAGGTAAATATTGCGTAGTAGTTCTGTTGGGATATTTTTATGGAATATATTTTAAATGTCTTTAGTTTATTAGATTAATGATACTAAATACTATTTGTTTTTCTTTCCTAGATTAGAAATCATTTTTCAATCCCACTTTATGTTTATGAAGGGTATACTTTATTGGGAATGGCTTCACCTGGAAATGAATTTAACATACCATTAGCATCTTACCGGTGATTCTTCTTTATCTATTTGTTTGCTCTATGCCTCTTATAGAATTTTTAGTTTCTGATTTGGTAAGGATATCTGTCTTTAAATTACCAAGCTTTGATCAAATCTTTCCTGTTAATATCGCATCCTATATAACTTATATAAGTTTCAGGGCACTTAGAAGTTTTTAAAAAAGAAATATTTAATTTAATGTATTTATTTTATACCATATAGATTACTTATGCTTTACCAGTAAATACAGTTATTACATGCTTGCAATATAGCCACCATAACCATAATCAGATACAGGGTAGGACAAAAGAGGTTTACAGTTGCGAGTATGCAAAATACAGAGTTTATTCTTGTATTATTATTTATTAATTACTGTATTAGTTTCCATACAAACAACTATAAACCTACTTTTGCCCCACCCTATATATTCACAGTTTTTATAAAATATCTAATTGTGCATGATTGGTAGTTTCTGGATTTATATATACTATTATGAAGTGATATTTACTTTTCAAAGGTTTTGTAATAGACTATTTTGGAAATTTTTTAGAATACAAAATATTTTCTCTTATTACACATTTATCTGTTGGTTATTTTAGAATTTTAATCAATCTTAAATATTCAAAGTAATTTGATTAAACTTGATATAAAATCTTAAATTAAGAAAGGATATATTAAAATTCTAACAAAATACTAATGATGGGCTACTTTCATAATTACCGGTTTAATATCATAACAAATAAGTATTATTGTTCAGGATAGTTAATTTGGAATTGAAATTTTAAAACAAGGGAAAATGGAGATTTTGGAGAATAATACCTTCCTCAGAATGAGTATCATAGTTGTCTGAGGCACCATTCAGAGCACATACTAGACATGGACACTTAGACCTCCGTTACAGAAGGATGGAGGCAAAATTACAAGCAGTGTTTAAATATCCTCTGTTCATCCTGACCCATGCCTAAGAGTTCAAGACTGGATCACTAATGTTTAGAAGACAATCTAGCAGTTCGAGGCACATATTTTCAGCTATTAGACTTGCTCACCCTAGTAAATATTCTATTGTTTTGACCTCTTGACTGTGATGAGTATTTTATTGCTTAATTTGAACTTGCTGTATTTTATTGCTTAATATGAACTTGCTGAGGGAAAGTATTATATATTATTCAGAGAACAACAATAAAATTGTTATTTACAGTACCTGACCTCGTTCTAGAGAGGATTATGGGTGGGTTATAAAGACTAAAGATAGCATATAAGATATGTTTAAAAATTTCTGTGAAAAACTTTAAGTTCATTTTGTCTTTGGATAATAAATGTTAATGGCATTATGTTTTATTTTTAATAAATTATTGCTATATATTTTGTGACTATTCATAGAAAAATTAGGCCATTAGAGTATCTTTACACTTTTTGTTCAAGGCTAAATGTTAATTTGTTACATGGAAGTTAATCAGTCTTTATTAGAATTATTAGTAACAAACCAGCTTGGATTTCACATTAGGTACTCTCTTAATCTAATGCTTAGATGTAGGTATAGTAACATTTAAGAAATGAGGTTTTATTAACAAATAGCTGTCTTTAATTGTAGAATTTACATATACTGATTCTTCAATTTAATTCATTTAACAGACATTTATCAAGTGTTTTTGTTGAGTGTAAGGCACTGCTGTGGGATAACAAGATGAATTGGCCTGGCTATTCCCCTTGGGAGATTGATATATTATGCAAATACAGAAGGTAGAAAGTGATAGGTTGCAGAGAGTTACAGAAAGAGTTGTTGCAGAAAACTGTGGAAAACGAAGAAGGGATTACCTACATGAATTGTAGGTAAAATGTAGTAATGTGGAAATTAGCCAAGAAGGGCAATCTTAAGTACGAGAAATTACATGAACCAAAGATAAGGAAACATAAAAACAAAGGGTTTGTATAGGTCTACAAAGAATAGTTGGGATTTGGTTGGAGTGTAGTGTGCATGTTGGAAGATTAAATTTGAAAGATAGTTTTAAGTTCACATTGAGGTAGTTGCTCCCTCATTTTCTTGCACCCATTTATATAAATTTTATCTTCATCTTTAATGTCATCTGTTTCTTCCTCTCCCTCAGAACATTTGGTGTTCTTCCATTTTAAAACCATTCACTCCATCAGCTCTTCTCATCTAGAACCTTTTGTCATTGATCAGTATTCTCTCATGTTTTCTCTTCATTTATTTCTTAAACTTTTCTTTCACTTTTCATATTTCCCTACTTCAAATCTTCCCTGCAGAACAAAGCTTTTTGGGACAATTGTCACTTCTGCAGAACACTGCAGCCACTATAGAAAGAGTTATGTGTGTGTCGGGAGAAGGAAGAGTCTAATATTATCTTAGAGTCCAGAGTACCAGTAGCTGGAAGTTCCTGGTAAAGGACACACAGAGCAGTAGATTTGGAGGGTTCAGAATTCATTCTAGCAAGTTTAAGGCACCATCAAACATCATTACAGAAATATGTGTAGATACTCAAAACTTTAGGGCTAGAGCTTAGGAAAATAATTAGGGCTGGAGATAGTATTGACAGCTGTTCATCTGTAAGGAATAGTGTCACAATTATTGATTAGTTTTACAAGTATAAAAATATTTCTTAATTGGACACAACTTAGGTTTAAAAAGTTGTTAAAGCTAAAATATAGTTGAAATTTAAACAAAGACTGTGATATTTAAATTCATAGATTAATCATATGTTATGCCTAGTGATTTTGTCACTATCTTCTTGTAATCACTTGCCCAACATTTTAATGAAGTTAAGTATCTATTGATAGCTTTCATTTCATTAATCTTGAAAAACTGGTGGTTAATTTTTTCCATAGAAATACTTTTTCATTTAGGAACTCATTCGTGACATGTACTTCTATTAGGACTACATATCCAGGAAAGCCAACTTCTTTAAGTTAAACGAACAAGTCACACACAGATAGCTGTATATGTTTGCTTTTCATATATGACCTATATGATCATGTATTTTCTGTAAGAAATCACTTATTGTAAGCATAGTTATTTCAATTTATTTTTCAGTTACTGTTGACATATATTAGTTTCTGGTGTACAAAATAGTGATTAGACACTTATATACCTTACGAAGTATCACTCCAATAAGTCTAGTACTCACATGACACCGTACATAGTTCATTGTAAACACACATTTAAGACAGTAAGTTTGTAAGAAAAATATTCTCTTAAAAGCTAAATAACTTCATTAGTTTCCTGGAAGTTAAGATGAAGGTATCTATTGTCTGTCTTACCTATCTCAAAGAATGTGAAAGTATAAAAACGTATTACAATAGTATGGAGGGAGGTCATTTCATTGTTCTAAAGCTGTAATCATATAACTTCATATGTTTTCTTTTCAGTCATTTCCGTGTATATTTTTTAACCTTTTGTACAGATCACTCCTTTCTCTGAAGCCAGAAGACGAGGAATATCAAATGTGTGAAGCAATTGACTTCGAAGAGATTATAAAAAATGAAGGCACTTTTCTAAAGAAGAAATGTAACCCTATAAACCCTTCTATGAAACCATTTATTATTAATATTGTCCCAGAAAAAGATAATTTGACATCCCTGTCAGTATACTCAGAAGATGGTTGGGACTTACCATACATAATACATTTGTGGCCACCTATCCTACTCCGAAATCTTCTTCCTTACAAAATGGCTTATTATATAGAGGTACACTGGAATTTTATTAAATGTCTTTGTGTCTTTGATTTTGTAGCTTTAGTTATTTAAAATTATGAACAATAAATGTTTTACAGTTCTAATAAAAATTATGATACTAGTGATAGTAATTTAAATGGAAAGGAAATGTTTCAATCATATTGTATATAAAATAGATTAAAAATATTTTCCATTGATTTACCTTTGAAATTTGGCTACTAAGTTGAATATAAATTACATACACAAATGTGATATGTCATTTAGAAAATAGAAATAATAACAATTGCCAGTAATCACATCATCTGAAGGTAGCACTTCAGCTGAAAATATTTTAGTTCTAGAATATACATTTTTCTATATTTTCTGTGCATGTACATTTCCTATATCCTACATTAAAAAGGCAGATTCTAACTTTTGAAACAAGTTTGAGAATTGGTATTAAATAATATTCAAGTACTAGACTGAAATGGAAAAACCCTGCTACATTATATTGTTCTCATGGTAGTTCTCTAAATGGATTTTATGCCCTATAAAGATGCTTTTTCTTTAAATACTGTTTTAACAAATTAGGATTTTAATAATATATTTGCCAATCTTATCAAATATAAGAAAGGTCTTTATTGTAATCTATTAATTATTGTTTTTGTTGTAGCCTGTTGGGATTTACTATATGTATACACTTTTTGATAATTTTGGGGGGGCGTGAAGTTAACATATCTATGATTTAAGAATATCTGTTTTTCCTTATGGTTGGCAGATATCCTAAGAATTTGCACTTTGCTGTAGATTTGAGATTTAAACCTACCTCTATCCCCACTATATGTCTTTAGGCAAGTTATATTGTCTTTCTAAATCATGTATCCTAGTTAATGAAATGGGGATAATAAAACTTGCATGATTGGGATATGGGGAAGGTCAAATTAGATGATGTATGTAAAGGATTTAGCACCGTGCCTGAAGACACACGATTGCCATTTATTTACCTAACACCACCACCACCACCACTGTTCTGTTTTGTGGATATTAACATGTCAGGTGCCAATAACTTAAATTACTTTTGCTTTAACTAATTTAAAATCTTAAGATGAAGAGATTTCTATATTAAAACAACAGGAAGGAACCAGGTTAGAGATGTGGGAAAAACTAGTGAATTACTCAGACGTACTATGTTCCATTTTCATAGAACTTTTTGTTTGATGCTTTTGGGGATCACATTCTGTTTGCTAGTTTCCAAAGGGTACGACCAATTTTTAGAAAGACAATTTAGCTGCGGTATGGAGAAGGGATTAAAGGAGACAAGAGCAGGTAAGAGACAAAGTGAGAGGTCACAGTGATATGAGCTAAGGTAATAGAAGTGTGGGTAGAGAGAAATGAATAGTTTTGAGAGATATATAAGATGCAGTATTATAAACAATAATTGGAAATGGGTGATGAGGAATTGTGAAACATCAGGAATGGGAGTTAGTAGGGATTGCTTATTTTGGATTACCATCAGTTTTCTCATGCATTTTTCATTATTTTTTAGTTTTCAAAACTAAAATCTCTAATGGGTAAGATTTTTAAAGTGTTTTACTAGTTATAGTGTATTATAATGTTTATTAGTTCCAGCAGAGTTTCAAATTACATCATTTAGTTTTATCCTAATAATAGTCCTTTGAAGTCAATCATTTAGACCATTTTACAAATACGATAACTCGTATCTCAAGCAATTTACAGAAGTTCGTATAGTTGTCAGAGTTAGAACCTGACTATATAAGTCTTCCAACTTGTTCAGACAGAAGTATATTTCAGAAGCATTTTGTATAGCATTTGGAATCATTAAACAGAATTTTTTGGCATATTATTCTGAAACATTAAAAAATTTACTATATATTTTTTTATTTCAGGGGGATGAATATAGAGTTTTCACTCTAAATGAAGGATCTTCGGCCCATATTTGTACTGTAAAATTGGATAAAGCCAAGCTACATTTAAAATTACTTGACTATCTTAATCATGATTGGAAAAGTGAATATCATATAAAACCTAATCAACAAGATATTAGTTTCATCAGTTTTACCTGTGTAACGGAAATAGAAAAGACTGAGTTAGATATTGCTATCCATGTGACTTATAATCCTGGCCAGACAGTTGTGGCATTTCATAGTCCTTATTGGATGGTCAATAAAACTGGTCGAATGTTACAATATAAAGCTGATGGAATTCATCGAAAGCATCCACCTAATTATAAAATGCCAGTTCTCTTTTCTTTTCAACCAAAGCACTTTTTTAATAACAATAAGGTATGTAAAGTTTTTTAACTTTCATTTTTTTAGCTATCACTCCTTTTTATATTTTAGAATCTTGAAGAATAAAATATTATGAAACAGGTAGAAATAACATTTGTGAACTATTGGATGTTATAAAGATTAGGATTTCATATTGGGAAAGGTTTAGTGCATTAAAAATGTATCAATTTAAGTTGGAAATTTTAAAGATACTTCAATTGTAATATCTTTGAAATATTTTTTCCTAGGTTCAGCTTATGGTAACTGATAGTGAATTGTCAGATCAGTTTTCAATTGATACTGTTGGTAGTCATGGAGCTGTTAAATGTAAAGGCCTGAAAATGGAATATCAAGTGAGTTCATTCTGTGCTCATCAAGAAACTTTTACTTAAACTGTGTCTATTGACTACTTAATTCTAAAGGATGCTATGATAATGTAACAGTTTTTGAAATATTAATGTTTTTTCCTTAGGTTGGTGTCACTATAGACCTCAGCAGTTTTAACATTACCAGAATTGTGACATTTACCCCTTTTTATGTGATCGAAAACAAAAGCAAGTGTCGTATTTTAGTGGCTGAAGAGGGAAATGATAAATGGCTCTCTCTTGATTTGGAGCAGGTGGGTAGATGAATTTCAGTAAAGTAGCTCTTTGGATTTTTATTTTCCCTTGAAGCTAGGTAACTGAAATTACTATGTAATGTTTTAACTTTCCATCCCCCTAATTTTGTTTCAGTTCCATGAACATTTATTATTTGTACCAAGCACTAGATACTTTATTAAAATCCAAACCTTGCCATTGAGGGATACATTTCTTGATAAGGGAGGTAAACATTTAGCAGTTACTAACCAAATGGGGTCAAATAGAGCAGTAGAAGACTAGATAAGGTATAAATGCAGGAAAGCAGAGGAAATTATTTATTCTCTTCAGGAAGCTATTAGGAATGCCTTTAAATAATAGACTAAGCCATTATTTTAAGAAGATGGTAGTGACTTAGGAGTAAAATATTTCTTTTACTCCATCTTTAGCTATTTTTTTTTTTTTAAATAGATCTTTATTAATTTCAGAGAGAGGAAGGGAGAGGGAGAGTGAGAGATAGAAACATCAATGATGAGAGAGTCATTGGTTGATCCCACAACCCGGGCATGTGCCCTGACCGGGAATTCAACCCCAATTGCCTGGACCCTAGGTCGATGCTCAACCGCTGAGCCACACCTGGCTGGGCACCTTTAGCTATTAAACCTCTAGGTAAGAGCTTTCTGAAGGACTGCCTGAGGTTGATAGAATATTTTACTTTTAAAGAAATTTTATTGTAGATATGTTAGGATTATAAGAGAAATGTTTCCTGTTTTTATTCACTGTTCTTGCTTTTAAGCCATCCTTCTGGAATCACTCTTCTTGACCTATATCCTTGAGAATTTCCTTTAGTTCTGGTTTTGGAGGAAAATTTCTGGTTTTGGAGGAAAATTCCATCAGTGTATGTTTATCCATACACTTTTACCATCATCTTTCTTTTATGATACTTTTTCTTGATAATGAATTCTGTTTTTCTCAGCATATTGTATATTTTACTCCACTGGTGTTTGGCTTCCATTTTTGTTGAAACTTTGGCCGTGGTTCTGTCATTTCTTTGGAGGCCATCTTTCTTCTTCCTTAGCTGCCTTCAGTCTTCTCTTCATGTTTGCTGTTCTACAGTCATGCTACTGCTTATCTACATGTAGGTTCCTTTTATATATCCTGCTCGAGATGCCTTACTGCTAGATCTGTGGGTTAGTGATTTTTCATACTTTCTGTAAAATTTGCAACTATTGTCTCTTTAATATTGTCTCTCCCCTGTTCTTCCACTTTCTCCTTCTGAGCCTTTAATCAGACATATTCTAGACTTGTATATTCTATACTCCATCTCTCTTAATATCTTTTTCATATTTTCCAAATGTATAACTCTGTGCTGCAATCTGGATACATTCTACATATATATTTTCCATAATTTTTTACTTTTACTGTGTCTAAACTACTATTTAAGCCTTCAACTCAGTTTTTTATTTGAATAATTATATTTCTCATTTCCAGAAGCTCCACTTTTTTCAAGTCTGCCTGTTAATTCATTCTTTCAGCATATACTTATTGTGTACTTCTGTGTGCTTTGCCATAGTTACATCTGTTAACAAAACCACAAGTCTCTGGCCTCATGTATTTTATATTTCAGTGGAGATGTAGGGAAACATTAAATTAATAATACCATGATCAATTAGTAAAATATATAATATGTTTACAGATGACAGATATATTGGGGGAAAGGAAATAAGACAGGTAAAGGAGTATTAAGAGTTATAACAAGCAAGGGGTGAGCTATAAATTACATAAGATGGTCAAGGATAGGACTCGTTGAGGTCACATTTGAACAGACTTGGAGGAAATGTGAGAGGTGGCAATTGTCAGGAGCTCAGCTGAGCTGAAGCTTAGCTGCCTGGTATTGGAGTAGTTCATAAAGACAACAAACCAAAATGAATATAACAATCAAGCCTTTAATCACTTACTGAGATAGTATAAGCAAGAAGCTAAACTGGAGAAAGCCCCAACTCCCCCCTGTTCCATTTTTCCTATGGAACAGCATTGGTCAGCGGTCAGGTGGATCAGCACAGACGGGGTTGTGTCGGGGGAGCCTGAGCAAAAGGGTCTTACAGTTTCATGGGCCTGGGGGATGGGGAAACATGAGGAAAAGGCTAGGAGTGGAGAAGCACTGAGTCAGAGTAGAGAGTAAGTGTCTTCAAGGTTTCCCCTCTCACCTTGATAAAGAGGCTTTGCAGAGGTTCCTGAGGAAGGCCTTTGCCAAGGGCACTACAAAAGGTCTCTGAATAAAGGTGCCTGGGGCAGGAATGCAGATACCTGTAAGAGCCTGGCTGGAGGTAGGGCTGAGCCCTTGACAATGCACTGTGCTGGGTGCGCACCTAGGCTGGTATGGGGAGGACAGCTTTTCCCTGTGAGGCCTGCCAGGTAACGTAGCCTTCGTAATTGACTGTGCTCTAACCTGAAAAATGACACACAGCTTTTTAGCCAGAAGCTGGGCACCTCAGCAATGTGGATATCTGGCAAAGAGCATTAGAGACAGAAACAACAGCCAGGGTAGGTGCCCTAAGGTAGGAGAATATTTGGCATGTTTGAGGGATAGCCGAAGTGGCCAGTATTAATGGAAGGAGGAAAAGTAACCGAGAAGAAGGTATAATGATGAAGGGTAATCATGCAGAACTTTCTGAGCCACTGCAAGGATTTTAGTTTTTGCTTTGAGTGAAATGGAGAGCTGTTGGAGGGTTTTGAATGGTGATTAAACATAATATGCTCTCAATAAATATTCGTTGAATGAACATTTATTTTTGCAAATGTTCCATATGTGCTCTAAGCCTATGTATTCTTGGTTTGTTGGATGTAGAGCTCTCTATATATCTAGTTGCTAAGATTACAACTGCAGCTTTGCTTAGCTTTATAGATTTTCTAAGTATATCTTTTTCCATACTTTTATTTACAACATTTCTATGCCTTGATTTATGTCTATTGCTAATAACATTATTGGGCCTTATCTTTTTAAAAACCTAACCTATAGCCTCTGTCCTTCAGCAGGTAGTTTATATTTCCATTAATTGCAATTACAACTGCATAACAACTTATTTTTTATCTCACTCTCTATTTTATTTTCAATTTCATAAGATATCTTTTCTTTTTTGTTTGGTTGGTTCTTTTAAAATCATTTTTTATTTTCAATTACAGTTGACACACATCATTATATTAGTTTCAGATGTACACCCCAGTGACCAGACATTACATAACTTAGTAAGTAATCACCCCAGTAAGTCCCACACCCATCCAGCACCATACCTAGTTATTAGAATATTATTGACTATATTCCCTATACTGTACTTAACATCCCCATGATATCGTTTCTTTGCTAGTTTAAAAGTTTTGCATTTTAATTTTGGCTTATTGTGGCCAGCCTTACCTTAAGATTTATATTCATGATTATTACCTATGTAGATTTGTTAAACTTATCTGTATCTCTATTTTCCCAGTACAAAAGACAAGTACTTTCCTACTTTCTCTAGTTCAAGGGATGGAACACATAATATTTTAAAAAGATATACAGTGTATCTTACTGAACATAAAAACATATATTGTTAAGGCAAGGCTACCAGAAGATAGCAGGCTAGGGGATGTTCAGAGAGCACATCAGTTACTCGTGGGAAGTACACTTGGCTTAGTATTGCTGCTCTTTTGACCCTTCCAGGTAAGTTTCTGCGAGGTTGCAAGAAACTCCGAGGGGAACCTTCTTAAGCCTCTTGCAGCCTTAACTATGTTCCATGTCTAGTTCTGTTTATCACCTTTTATGGTTGAATAAAACTGACTCTAACATGTCAGCTCTGCTACATTGTCCCGGGCCATGTGGTAATCAGGTATCACACATGAACAGTCTCGCTGAGATACGTGAAGTCTCCAGCCCGACCGGGGCCTACAGACAGGTTTGCTTCTCCATCCTGTTCTTTTAGCTCTTTTCTGCCCAGAGCCCTTTGTTGTCTTCTCTCTGGGCACACCGACTGTCTCCTGTTCTTTTAGTTTGGTTTCCAGATCACTGATATCCAGGTTGTTTTTAAGTTTTTGAGCCTATTTCCTCCTCTGAATATATCTTTTACTTTTTTACCCTTATTTGACTTCCCTCACTCTGGATTTAGCACGTGTCTGGAGTCAGCATTTGTGTGTACTTTGATTACTGCTTAATTACCAAGTGATGCCCACAACCTGACTGTGATTTTTAGTCACTGAATGTACCCTTGTTTTAAACCAGTCACTTGCTTCCCAGCTCTCTGCTCAGCTTACTTGCTGATTTTGTAATCCTGCTGTAGATCTGGACCATATTAATATCTCTGCTTATTAAAGCTTTTCAACTTACTACCCATTACTGCTTGTATTCCTGTTGCTCACAACTGGCAACCCATCTCTAATACTTAGATAATTTTAGCTGTTTAGGTGAACAACCCAATAACCAGAGCATTGTTGAAAGAGATTTGTTGTAATTTTATTTTAAGTCTACTCTAATGGGTTAATTAAAATTATAAAGGTCTTTATGATGCAACCTGCTTCAAAAAAATAAATGTATGTAATCTATGTTTTAGTGTATCCCCTTTTGGCCTCAGGATGCTTCAAACAAACTTCTTATTCAAGTTGAAAGAAGTGAAGGCCCTCCCAAAAAGATACATTTGAACAAGCAAGAAAATTGTATTTTATTGCGTCTGGATAATGAGGTAATTTGTGTGTGTGTGTGTGTGTGTGAGAGAGAGAGAGAGATTAGAGAAGCTAATGTTACTAGTATTTAATTCTTTTTGTATCAAATAATCTTCTCATGATTTTTTTCCTTCCACCAAAAATGAACAAAGATTTCTTTTTGTGAAGGGAAACAGTCATGAAACAATTTAATCATTATACAGAAAGTTAGTTGAAGTGCCTAGAATATACACCTGGAATTTTACTCATCTATACATAATAATTGAGAGCATTGTTTCCCAGACATGCTGTATAAAATTAAAAAAAATATGTTACAAATAGTTTTATTATTAAATGTTGTTAGTTAATAGTCTTTGGGAAATGATCACATTAGAGAATATTTTCTTTTCCTTTTTTCTAGCTGGGAGGTATTATAGCAGAAGTTAATTTGGCAGAGCATTCTACAGTTATTACATTTTCAGATTATCATGATGGAGCAGCTACATTCCTGTTAATAAATCACACCAAGAATGACATTATTGAATATAAGCAAAGGTAAGATTATCACAAATACAGTGTCCCCTGATTTGAGCAAAGTCTAAGTGATGAGACACTGACTTTATGATTTCTTAAGACACTGACAGTGGCATTTGGGCTATATAAGACAGTGTTCTCTTTTTTAACAAAATGTATACTGAAGTATGTAGGGGTAAAACTGACTTCATATCTATACTTTTATTAAATTGATGTGTAATGTTGTATCAGTTTCAGGTATACAACATAATGATTTGATACTTGTATATATGGCAGAAGATCACCACAAATCTTGTTAACATCCATCACCATACATAGTTACAATTTTTTTTTCTTGTGATGAAAACTTTTAAGATTTACTCTCTCAGCAGTGAAAGAAAATACAGTATTACTAACTATAGTCACCATACTGTACATTACATCCCCGTGACTTATTTATTTTATAATTGGAAGCTTGTACTTTTTGACCACCTTCACCCATTTTGTCTACCCCCCAACCCTGCCTCCGAGAGCCACCCATCTGTTCTCTGTATCTATAAGTTTGGGTTTTGTTTGTTTGTTTTGTTTTTAGATTTCACATATAAGTGAGATCATATGGCATTTGTCTTTCTTTGACTTACTTCACTTATCATAATGCCCTTGAGGTCCATCCATGTTGTCTCATATGACAAGATTTTCTTTTGTTTTATGACTGAATAATATTTCATTGTATCCATATACCAACATTTTGTTTATCCATTCTTCATCATTGGGCACTTAGATTGTTTCCAGATCTAGGCAATTGTATATAATGTGGCAGTGAACATAGGGTCACATATATCTTTTTGAGTTAGTGTTTTCACTTTATTTTTATTTTTATAAATACCTAGAACTGGAATTGCTGAATCATATGGTAGTAGTTTCATTTTTAATTTTTTGAGAACCTCCATACTGTTTTCTATAGTGTCTATACCAAGTTACATTCCCACTGAGCAGTACACAGGGTATATTTTTCTCTCCACAGCCTTGTCAATAATTATTTATTTTCTTGTTTTTTGTTTTGTTTTGATTTATTTATAATAGCCATTCTAACAGGTGTAAAGTGATATTGTGATTTTTATTTTCATTTTCCTGATGATTAGTGATGATGATCATCTTTCATATGTCTGTTGGACATGTATGTGTCTTCTTTTAATTTACTTTAAAATCCTCAGAAAAAGAAAAATGCAAGAACTGAAACAAGTATAGCAGAAGCTTGATTGTTGTGGGATCCTGTGAGAAAAATGTCAGAGTTTATCATAAGAATTTTGTCTGTTTTTCAAATTTTTTATATATTTAATGAAGATAACATAAATATTGAAACTTTAGTTTTTTTGTTTTTGTTTTTCCAAACAATACATACCATCTTGCTGAGGTGTGTGGGAAAGGACTGCTACATTTTTAAACTTCCCTAAAGACTATATTTTTATCTTGATATTTCAGGACTACTACTAACATCATTTGTTTCATTTACTGTGATGTCATATCTTTGTAGAAACTCTACAGTTTATGTAACTTTATATTCCTGTACTTATGGGTCCTGGGCTGTCTTGAAATTATTTTGTCTGCTCTTTTTAGTTTGCTTTCATCTGTCACTTATTAGTGGGCCCACATTTATCAGTGCACTGATGCTTTCCTTCCACCGCTAAATGACACTTCTAATCATTGATTAAATGGACATTGAGTGAGGCCCTCAGGGCTGGCAAATACCTAGAACTCCTATTTGTCCATCAGTTCTCTCATCTGGAAGATGCTGAGAGAGAGGAAAGCCTATTTTTTATGATAATCTATATTATAAAAATAATAAATTGGTTGATTAAAACTGACAGAAACAAATAGAAGTGATTTCTCAATTGCCCTTCAATCCATGTACCTCGAATAATCGTTCCCAAATAGCATTCACAGAATAAGACCGTCAAAAAATGACTTAAGTGATTATTTTCTCAGTTCTCTCAAAGGTGATGCATAGCTGGTAATATCATAAATACATAGGAGCTAAATTAATTCTTTATATACTACTGATGATGTAGTATGTCATAGCTTAATTTCTGACATGTGGTTGAGCCTAGCTGAGGGTCAGGCAGCTCAGTCTTTTCTTGGCCTTGACCTTGCTTTTTTTTTTTTTTAATTCTCACCTGAGGATATTTTTTCCATTGCTTTTCAGAGAGAGTGCGGGGGGGGG